TAGAATTGGTTGAAACTCTAGCTAAAACATGTAATTATTTGTTAAGATTTATAAGTTAAAAGTAATCTTTTGAAAACTTAAAAAAGTCTTTGAGACAGTTTTTGTATTGATGAGTTCTGCAGCACTCAATCTACTAATATATGCAGTTCTGCAAGTCCAGAGATATATTTGATATCTTTGTTTACTTGGCAAACATTGGTTAAATAGAATAAGGAGGTTTGATAAGCCCAATTATACCAAAAACAAAATTTTTAAAAAATTAGAGAATGCAACTCTGTATCTCGGTTATAAGAGCCCCAGTATTAAATCTAATTAGAAGCAAGTTTGAAGGCTATTTAAAACTTTAAATATTTTGCCTAAAAACAGCCCAAAAGATTTTTTATTTAAACCAAAAGCCACTATTATTAAAACGTGTTTTTTAAGCTCACTTGAATTCTAATGATATTTCAAGTATCTTAGATTTCAGTGCCAAAACTCATTTCAAGTAAAGATTGACTTTTGATATGTTCAAGAACCAATTACCGCGCTAAGGTTTTTACCAAGGGCAGAGGGACATTATAAGTATTGGAGGAACTGTGAAGGTCAAGCATTTGACATCTAAATCAAGGAAGGGGTTTGCTTTAAATTTAAAGGTACACAGATTGTTAAATAGATAAGGAGAAGTGAGATAGTGTGTAGCAATCCATTGATAGAGGCATAAATAGCTAAAAATAACAAAAAATGTCCCAGAAATAATTTACAACATAAGAATTTATTCTTGACTTGGGCTAAGAGTATGTAGAATATTTGTATAATCTATAAATTTTTGTGAAGGGTTGGGGGATGGAAATTTGTAAAGTATGTTTGTATAACTGCAGTGGAAACATTAATAAGTCTGAGAGAAATTAATTATAATATTGTCTAGGATGAACCGGAATTTTTTTTTTAAATGTAAAAGACATCAGTAATTTATCAAATCAGCTACTCTGGTACTTGTGATACATATATTGTTTGGCTTAGCAATTGGAGTACAAATTAATGTATCCATTGATTAAGAAATCATATGGTTTATACATGTATATGGTTGATCAACCTTGAAACATTAAAATTTGAGTTTAAAATGCATGCATGAAAATTGTTATTCCATATCCTGGAAGTATAACACTACCTAAACCTGATAAACATGTAATGCTGTTAGGCTCTGATAACAGCAGGTAAATAATTTATAAATTAAAAGGTAAAATCTAAGAGATATCTGAAAAGGAAAATACATTTTAATTTTAGCATCGAGAAGTCATTTTGATGTCATTAGAAGCTTTTTAACACTTCTTTAAAATGTTTTGAATTTTAAATGGTTTTATTGAAACTAGTTTGCTTGCATGCACTCAAATTAAAATAAAAAAAACTCACTGGTAGTTTTCAGTACTTAAGGTGCTCTGCCACTTAAATTTCATAAGATCCATTAAAATAGACTAAAATATCTTGAAGGACATACAAAAGTGAGAACATTAAGAAACAAGATGTGTTTGTGAAACACTGTGCCCCCGATGGTAACACAGTTCTGGAGTGGTGCAATAGTTATGGGCTATAATCTTGTCTTAATCATGAAAACCAAAGTCAAATATGAAAGCCTTACCATTGACAGTGCAATAGTTATGGGTCAACAACAGACAGACAAACAGACAGGACAAACACACTATACCCCTGGAATCTTTCAATCTAGGAGCACAAAAAATTATTATTATAGAAGGCATTTGAAGATTAATAAATATACCTTAATTATAAAATAACTGATACAAAATATAAATCCCAACTACTTATTCTTTAAGAATTTTACCCTGAATATCTCTAATCCTCGGATATCTCTAATTTTTTTCTGGGTCCAATCGAGTTTAAGATAACGAAGTTTGACTGTATATTAAATATTAATTGTTCGAAATCTGTGGTCATGCATGCACACAATTTAGAACTTGGAGTTGAATGTATGTTGGAGGTTATTTCAGCAATAATCACTGTGAGCTATACTTGTAAATATATTTAGGTCTTTGTTAAACTTTATAATGTAAATTAATATAATTATTTTAAATGTATCTAAATGAATAAAGTTTGAAAAAAAGAAAACATGATACCCTATGATTCATTGTTTAAAAATACTTGCTCCTTCATTGAAGGGTTCTATCTAAGTCTCAAAAGTACACTAATATTTCATGAATAATTAAAAACAGTTCGTTTACACACCACACCTTTGGACAATGATCAGGTACATAGCTGGATATTTTAAAATTTTAGGTAAATAATTAGGTCGTAAACCCACTCTTGACGTTTGTTTACATACCAAGCTTTATGGTTATAAATCCTATTATAGGAACAGACAATGTGCCCATACCTGAATGCTGGTTTTGTAATTACCATTCCTGTAAAGTAAAAGTGACCACCACAGTGGCATATAGGATATAATTAGGGCTGTGTACTGAGCAAAAAATTTCGATATGATACAATATTTTTTAAAGCGATATGCGATATATTGGATTCTAAAACAAGTCCATCAAAAAAAGGCATATTAATCATTTAATGCATTGATTTCATAAAAAATTTAGTGTTTTATTACCCATTTCCAAGTTCTTATCCCATAGTCAGTAAATAAAACACTTCCAATCGAAACTTTTAATGACTGTAAAATCAACATGTTAAAATAAAATTGTTATGTAATTTATAATAGCCATAAAAACTGTGTTATTTCTTTTATAAATCTATAATTATTGATAAGTTTTAATTAAAAAAAGTTAAGTTTAATCTCTGCTGATTAAAATTCTCATCTTTTTAGCAGAATTAGAAGAAAAACTGCATGTCCAATACGCATTGGAAGTAATTTTTCGATAGGATATTTTTCTTGAATATCGATAGGTATCGATATATCAATATATTGATACAGCCCTAGATATAATGTTACCTTGTTGTTGTTCAGCAGTTTTAATTGCTGTATATACTGCAATTTATATTAAAATAAGGAGTTTAAAAAGCAAAATTCATAGAGGCAATCATGTCAAAGTGCCGAATAAAAAAAAAAACGGTCAGAAAACTTCAATATAGTAAATCTCGCCTTGTGTTAGTTCTGGCTAATTTATAAACTAAATTACCCGGTATTCTCAGAGACTAGCTATAATTAAGCTTTAATGCTGGTTCCTGAATCAATATTTTAGAATCATAAATTTATGAAATCTAACCTGTAACGATGCAAAATGATATTGACCATAAAATTATGTTGATTTTGGCATTTAAACTTATAAGACTAAAACTTTGATAGTTCTATTACAGTTACATTTTTAATGTACCAAACATTTCTATGGTATAAATTGAAGATGGTACATTCATCCTTCACAGATTGCTGAGGGTGTTTTAGTTACTTGTGTTTTGAAAGAATTTTTCAGTTTTCCATGGTGGGCGTCCTTCTCATGGTTTTGTTCAAATTGCACAGTTAAATTGACTACATGGAACGAAAACTATTGAAGACACAGGAATGTTTTCTATAAATCTATCCAATCTTTTTTATTTTGGCCTCCTCCACTTTTTAATTGACTGACGTGACAGAAAAAATGGATTTAATTGGATTTTACTTGGAATTGTTATGTTTGCTCTGACTGAAATAAGCACAAATAATTCCTCTCAGGTTTATATGTATTTAGTGTTTATGCCTTTGTTAGCAAACTTTAAATTCATTTCAAGAGTATTGAATACCTCAGATGATTTAATTTTGTGAAAAGTAATTTAAAAATAATGTGTACATTAATGCACTTTGGAGCAGGCATTTGTCAATTGGTAGTTATAGAAGGGCTTAAAAGAGTATTGAAGACTCTAATTAAATTCATGGAAATTCAGTTCTTGGCTTGGTATATAAAAAATCTTATGAAATCTGGTTTAATTAAGTGTTGATATGCGTTGTTGTTTATTAGACTAGAGCACACTTCGGCTCTCTGATTAAAAATTTACTTAATATGATAATTTTAATTTAGTCAACTTCTTGAAAAGACATTAATGACCTGTATATTAGATATAATAAGTTTTAAGTTATTGGTAAGCTTCTTTTGTATTTGTCTAACTCGTACATGTATTTTTTTTCCTTTTATGGACAAAATATACTGATCTGGTAATTATAATACCAGTAAGCAACGAAATGCCAAAGCATGAGAGGTCCGTTATTTGACTTTTCACTATTTAATGTTTAGTTCTTGAAGTTGGTGTATTGTAAAATTGCTTTTGTAATTATTTAAATATTATTTACTAGGTATAGTGTTTCATGATTTTAAATCCATGTTACATTAGTCAAATAAAATGTATTTATAAAACATCCACTAAGAGCAATGAAGTATTGTGTCATCAAGTACAAAAAAGAAATAAAACCTGATTATAAGATAAATGTAAGAGTAAAGCACTTCTGACTATCCAAGTCTTGGGCTTGACTCTCTTATTGCATGTAATAAAAAATGTTAACCAAGTATTTCAAAATTTCGCACATTCCTCTGTATCAAAACTATATTTTATAGAATTCAGTTAGATTTTTGCAATGCTACCATGTTAACAAAGAACCCCCCTCCTCCCCCCCCCCCCAAAAAAAAAAATCTGAAACATCTAAGAAACAGTAGAATTGAACATGAATTTGTCTTGTTAGTACATATAAACTCTATACTGGTACAATTTATATAGTCAAAATAAATGCTTGGTCTCAAGTGCCTTAATTCTTCAAGAAAATTTTTCACATCCACTAAAACTTGTAAAGTTGTATTTGTGGAACAATTTACATGTATATTGAAACCAAACATTTGGCCTTGTAGTAGTTTTGGAGAACTACTTAATTTTTCTTGAGGTAGATTCTGAAGGCCAAGCATTGACAAAATGTTAAGAAAAGCAGAATTGGGTATTGCACTTAATAGAAGTTCCACAAAGATAATTTTATTAGTTTTCAAAATATCACTTCATTAAGATGTGCTGATCTCTAAAATAAGACCCCTTTTTGTGTTTTACAGTTGTGTGGGAGGGGTGACTGGTATGCAGGCATGTTCTGCTGGTAGAGCCAATCCAAACTCTGGATCCTCCACTTCTGGTGCTTGTGTGCCTTGTAATGCTGATGAAATAAGTACAGCAGGGTCATCTGCATGTATCAAATGTCCAGCAGGTTACAGCTGTACCTTTCAGACTACTCAGACAGCTTGTAATACCCAGGAATACTCACTGGAAGGGGAGACAACTTGTACTGCATGTCCTACAGGATCAATATGTCCCAATGCAGCCCAGGCTCCACAGGTAGACAAAAGGCCTCTTTTTATAATATTAATTTTGTTTTGGTTTTGTTATGAGTTTTTAAGATATGTTAAAAAGGCATATACTTCTTTATACTGAAAATGCTTTTGTATTTGGGAGAAATGTGACAATTGTATAAATCTGTGGAAAATTTTGCAAATATATCTGAGATTTTACAATTACATGTATAACCAGATTGAAAATAATATTAAACCCAAAGTATGATATGCTTCACATATTATGAACTATTTGATTTAGGACTGCCCAGCTGGTAAGGAGCCAAACACTGGCCAGACAGCATGTGTAGACTGTTCAGCAGGGACCTACAGTTCTGTCTCAGATAACTCGTGTCAGACATGTCCTAAAGGTAAGATGGAAGTTAAAGACCAAGTTTGTTTATCATAACTATGTCCTTTGTATTCTTTGATAACTTTGATACTACAAATGTGAAATATACAAAGCAAACAGTTTTATAAATATATCAAATTTCAAAAAAAAAATCTTTGTAGAAAATTTCCTGCTTAATGAAGATAGCAGACTTCATTTTCTACTTAGAATTTATTGACTACAATATCTTTTAGGATCAAAATGCCCTACATCTGGTATGACAGCCCATACAGTGTGTCCGGCGGGGGAGTATCAGGATAACACAGGTCGAACATCGTGTAATGCGTGTACCGCAGGACATGAGTGTTCTGATCCGACCATTGCTCCTGTCCAGTGTAACGCAGGATTCTATGCACCAGCCAACTCAGTGACGTGTACACCATGTGCAACAGGTAAAACATTATTGGTAGATAACCTGAGAATGTCATGACTTTACAGATTTCCCCTAACAGTTGCAATGTTGTTTGTTGTAGTTGACAGGAAATAGGTCAGATGATGAATTCTTCAGCAGTTTGTAACTAATCATTCACATTAAGTGTTCATTTTACAGGTACTTGAATTCAGCATGAAATTACGGTTTGCTATTTCTTTCAGCAAGTTCTTAAAAGCATAACAATTGAAAAATTTCTATAGGCACATATAGCAACAGTGCAGGATCGAGCTCTTGTTCTGAGTGTCCAGCAGGCAAAGATTGCTCTGACCCGGCACTGACCCCCACAGATTGCCCTGCAGGGACCTACAGTGCCCTGAACATTACTGCATGTACCCCATGTCCAGCAGGACATTACAGTACTGCAGGGTCAGATAGTTGTACAGTTTGCCCTGCAGGCAAGAATTGTTCCAGTAGTGTTGGTGTTCCATCTGATTGTCCAGAAATGACCTACAGCACTGTGGGCAGTAGTGGCTGTACAGCCTGTTCTTCAGGTGTGCTTTCAACAGAAGTTCAATACTAGCATCTTACCTCTAAAAAAATAATTTTCAGCATCAGAATTGTTAAATTCATGCAAAATAATTAGATTATTCAAACCAAAAATGAAATTCCCAGTTGTCAAAATTAATTTCTTCTAAGTTAAAAAAAAAATCTTGATCATTCTATTCAGGACACATCATATAATCTAATGTTTTAAGGCCTTAATTTTCATCTGATTTCTTTTTCACCTTCTCTTCGTTAAATACAGAGTGAGAACATTCATTTTAGCTTTGAAAGATATTTCTATTTTTTATATAAATATTTTCTCCATTTGCTGCTGCATGTTAGGATACTACAGTACAACTGGATCAGGAAGCTGTACAATCTGTCCCTCAGGGAAATCCTGTCAAACAGCCACTCCCAGTGATTGTCCCCCAGGATCTTACAGCCAAGAAGGAGATGGAGTGTGCACAAATTGTGCTGTTGGATATTACAGCAGCAGTCCTGGTGCTTCTTCCTGCATGGTGTGTGCTGCAGGCATGTCTTGTAGCTCCAATTCCAGCCAGCCTTGTGCTGCTGGCACATATGGTGTGGAGGGGGAAATGTCCTGTCGTCCCTGTTCTGGTGGTCATTACAGTGAGTTGGGGGCCAGTAATTGTAGTGTGTGCCCTGGAGGTAAAGACTGTAGCAGTGCAGCAGGAGTTCCCCCTGACTGTGTGGCTGGTCAGTACAGTGTAGAGGGAGATTCAGGCTGTACCAACTGTCCCTCAGGTATCTACAACTCATGGAGGGTTTGCATGGGAATGGATGTTGTCTGTTAACTTGTATGCATGCTGCAGTTAAACATTGATGCATGTGCTCTTCTGCTCCAATGTATCCACTTTGTAGCAATGTACATTGAAGAGGAGGATTCAGGCTATACCAAAGATATCTTGAGTACAGTGTATTTGTACTTTAGGTTAAATGTTGTTGTGTTGTTTTCCAAGGATGTTTAGGTTTAAAGATGTCCACAATGATGTTGAATATTTAACAAAGTCTTGAGTTTCTGTCTCTTCGTGTTTGAAAAGTATCTGAATGACCATTTCTTGATGTTTCAGTCACCATTCCCACTGGTGTTTATATATTTTGAATCGGGGATGTCATTGATTTTCTTCACTTTCAGGATTTTATTTTTCATTTTTTTAAGCATATAGAAGACATTTGCACTACTTTCAACACCTGTATAGGGGCATGGGAATCGGGCCACCCTACTTATTTTTTCTTATGTAAAACCTAATGATCCACTTTTAAATACTACATGACCAGCAATCTCAATTCTTGTTGTTACAGATTTGTATGTATGTGTGTATGTATATTTGTATGTATTGCGATCAGTGGCTTCGGGCAGATAAAATGTTACATTGGAATATAAGTTTATTGACAAATTATTTCAAGTATGATGCAGTTGTAATGTAACATTATTGTGCATTAATTCACAGAAAAAAAGATAATGAGAAATTGGACATTGAAAGATTGAAAGCAAGTCATTTTGTTTAACAAGTAAATGAGTAAATTGAATCTGATTCAGATTTCATTTGATGATCACTTCTTTTCATAACTTAATTGGTATTTTTTCATTCTCAAAGGAATATCTTGATGGTTAAAAAATATTAAAGTTATAAGGAAAAAATACCTCTTTCAGGCACATATAGCAACAGTGCAGGTTCTAGCTCTTGTTCTGAGTGTCCAGCTGGCAAAGATTGCTCTGACCCTGCCCTGACCCCCACAGATTGCCCTGCAGGGACCTACAGTGCCCTGAACATTACTGCCTGTACCCCATGTCCAGCAGGGCATTATAGTACTGCAGGCTCAGATAGTTGTACAGTTTGCCCTGCAGGCAAGAATTGTTCCAGTAGTGTTGGTGTTCCATCTGATTGTCCAGAAATGACCTACAGCACTGTGGGCAGTAGTGGCTGTACAGCCTGTTCTTCAGGTGTGCTTTCAACAAAATAATTAGATTACTCAACCAAAAAAAGAAAATTTTTGCCAATCATCAAAATTCACTTGGTTTTCAGTAACCATAAATCAGCTATACAGGATACATCATATACTCTAATGTTTAAAGTCTTTATAACTTATATGAATTCTTTTCACCCTTTTCTGTTAAATTACCGTACACAGTGAGAACATTCATTTCAACTTTGGAATGTATTTTAAATCTTTCTATAAATATTTTTTCCATCTCTTACCACAATATCAGGATACTACAGTACAGCTGGATCAGGAAGCTGTACAATCTGTCCCTCAGGGAAATCCTGTCAAACAGCCACTCCCAGTGATTGTCCCCCAGGAACCTACAGTCAACAAGGAGATGGAGTGTGCACAAATTGTGCTGTTGGATATTACAGCAGCAGTCCTGGTGCTTCTTCCTGCACAGTATGTGCTGCAGGCATGTCTTGTAGCTCCAATTCCAGCCAGCCTTGTGCTGCTGGCACATATGGTGTGGAGGAGGAAATGTCCTGTCGTCCGTGTTCTAGTGGTCATTACAGTGAGTCGGGGGCCAGTAATTGTAGTGTGTGCCCTGGAGGTAAAGACTGTAGCAGTGCAGCAGGAGTTCCCCCTGACTGTGTGGCTGGTCAGTACAGTGTAGAGGGAGATTCAGGCTGTACCAATTGTCCCTCAGGTATCTACAACTCATGGAGGGTTTGCATGGGAATGAATGTTGTCTGTTAACTTGTCTGCATGCTGCAATTAAACATTCTAGCATGTACTCTAATTCTTCAATGTATTCGAGGGTTTGAAATTATATGACCATGTTATATACACCAACTACTCTTCTTGAGCATGAAGATTTCATCCAAACTTTAAACTGTTCTCATCATATATCACTATTTCTAATCTTTGACAACAGAAACACTATGAGAGGGAATATCTTGTTCAGCTGTTATCATTTTTCATATTCTCTACTATATCAAGTCAAATTTTTGATGCATATTTGATTGTGTTACGTTATGTGTATCCATGTTTTAGGTTGTACAAATATTCAAACTTAACACACTGGGTTTGCATGTATGGTTTAATTTAGTTTTCTTTTAGCTATATTATATACATAAATGTATAATCTAGTTTACTGACATTGAAAAATTATGCAACAATAATGGCATATCTTCTACAGCAAAAAAACTTATGGTACAGCTACACTTATTTGACTATATATATAAAATAGAATCTTTACAGTTTTCTTCATTATTACAGTACTAATGATACCAAGTTTTAAAATTTTTCTTGCAGGATAAAGAAAGCCATTTTGTCCATAATTTAATTCATTTGTCTCACATTTGATTACTTCATTATAATGATTAAAATCAAAATTATATAAACATATAAAACTTCTATAGGAATGTACAGCAACAGTGCAGGTTCCAGCTCTTGTTCTGAGTGTCCAGCAGGCAAAGATTGCTCTGACCCGGCCCTGACCCCCACAGATTGCCCTGCAGGGACTTACAGTGCCCTGAACATTACTGCCTGTACCCCATGTCCAGCAGGGCATTACAGTATTGCAGGGTCAGATAGTTGTACAGTTTGCCCTGCAGGCAAGAATTGTTCCAGTAGTGTTGGTGTTCCATCTGATTGTCCAGAAATGACCTACAGCACTGTGGGCAGTAGTGGCTGTACAGCTTGTTCTTTAGGTGTGCATTCAACAGAAGTTCATTACTAGCAACTGTCCTTTAGTAACTACTTAAAATAAAAAAATAATTTTTAGCATGATAATTGTTTTAATTTTAATTTTCTAATTTTCTTTAACATAAAGTTTTTTTTATAACCATATTGTGTTATCAGCGTATAAATATCATAGGTAATGTCCTCGATGTATTTTCAAACGGTGTCTATTTGAACATGATATTTGAATACTTGTTTTTTTTTTCAGTCAATTTTTATTTTATCAATACAATTGCATTTCAGCTTCAAAAGTGTAGGGGTAATTTCAATTTTAAGCATAAGGGTTTGAAAATTAAACATTAAAATTAAGTAGATTCAATTATGAAAGTTTGAAATCCAATCTCATTTCTATTGCACAATACCAGGATACTACAGTGCAGCTGGATCAGGAAGCTGTACAATCTGTCCCTCAGGGAAATCCTGTCAAACAGCCACCCCCAGTGATTGTCCCCCAGGAACCTTTAGCCAAGAAGGAGATGGAGTGTGCACAAATTGTGCTGTTGGATACTACAGCAGCAGTCCTGGTGCTTCTTCCTGCACAGTGTGTGCTGCAGGCTTGTCTTGTAGCTCCAATTCCAGCCAGCCTTGTGCTGCTGGTACATATGGTGTGGAGGGGGAGTTGTCCTGTCGTCCCTGTTCTAGTGGTCATTACAGTGAGTCGGGGGCCAGTAATTGTAGTGTGTGCCCTGGAGGTAAAGACTGTAGCAGTGCAGCAGGAGTTCCCCCTGACTGTGTGGCTGGTCAGTACAGTGTAGAAGGAAATTCAGGATGTAACAACTGTTCATCAGGTATCCACTGCAAAAGGTCTGCATGTGGAGGGGTGTGGCATTGTTTTGACACTAACTTTACTTTGAATGTGTGCATGCAAGAAACTCATAATCCCATGTTCATATTTTATAATCTGAATTTCATTGTTTTATGGTATGATATATTTATTGCACATTTTCTGTTGGATGTTTGCATGTGGGAAAATGCTTGGTTATTGTTTATGGTTTTTTTTGTTTGTTTTTGTTTTTTGTTTTGTTTTTTTTTTGAAATTTGGACATATCATTATGCTTTTGTATTCATCTATTACTCTAATATCAATGCATTAACAGTATTGGGTTGTATATGTACATATTTTAAAATACCACCATTTATGCATGGATTTATTTTTTGCAGGCCTTTAAAAGTTCTCCATATAATATTTATTTAGTGCATCTTTACTTTTCAGATATTTAGGAACAACACCTCATTTAATATTAATGTTGTGATATATTTACAGCTGTGTTGCATGCATATTGAAGACAATTAGTATTAATCTGTGAAAGTGGCTTATTAAATAAGGAATATTATTCTGAAAACAAATAATAAACTAACACTGCATGTTGTATGAAGACTATCAGGGTTGTCTCTCAGACCTATGATTGGCAAATTTCCCCACTTTAATAATGTAATTCCCTGGTTATTCTGGTATTCTTGTTATTCTCCCTCAACTCCTTATAAGGGGAGGAACCCAAAACCCCTTCTACTTTTCTAATGTCCTCCTGGTATTTCAATTGTAAGGGACTATAAGTAAAAGCCGACATTTGCTTGTTGATGTGTACTTTATGTTTTATTCACTGTATAAGTCTAAAATAATTTTTTTTAATCTTTATTTAGGTTCAACAAAAAAATGTATTTTCATCTTAATTAAAATTACATTTTGTCATGTCATTCACTCATATGACAGAAATAAAATCATTTGAATTAAAAATGCCTTACTACTGTACTTACTGTTACAGGTTTCTACAGCAGCTCAGCAGGTGCTACAAGTTGTACGCAGTGTACAGCTGGACATTTCTGTACCGCCTCCACTCAAACAAACTGTGGTGCCACAAAATACAGCAGTGCAGGAGCCACAGCATGCAGTGACTGCCCGGCAGGATTTGCTTGTCCTGGCTCCACCACATCAACCCCCACTCAGTGTATAGCAGGAAAATACTCAGGAACCAAAGCCTCATCCTGCACCAGTTGTGATCAGGGGTACCAGTGTCCTGTAGATGGTATGACAGCCCCTGAGGCTTGTGGGAATGGAACTTATGCTCCCTCAGCTGGTGCCACTGCCTGTACACTTTGTCCAGCTGGTATGCTTTTTGAGATTTAGAAAAAAATCTTCAGAGAAGATGTATTTTAAAGATATTGAAATAATCTGTATTTGATTTTGTGACCCTGTATAATATGTAAAAAATTTAATAAATGACCTGTACTTTTGGTTGATCTCTTTGCAATCTGTGTATGGAGCTTGATTAAATGAAATTTTACTTATTCATGGATTTGGTTCATAGGTCAGAAATGCCCTGATGTTACATCAGCAGCCATTGACTGTGTACAAGGAAAGTACAGTCCTGAGGGTTCATCCTACTGTTATGACTGTCAAGACGGCTGGTACGCTGATTCAGTGAAGTCCACCACATGTACAGAGTGCCCTGTGGGATCAGCTTGTCCAACCAAGAATACAGCACCCACACAGTGTGGACCTGGAGAGTACAGGTACAGTACTGTATATAGTTGTATACATCTGCATGAAATGCAAAAGAGAGAAATGATGATTAAATCTTATAAAGAAACTTTCTGAAAACCTCAGGTAAGGCATTCAGTGATGTCAACTGCTTATCTAAAGGTTACTAATAACAAAAATTCAATTAGGGATGTAAGTGTTTTTGACCACTGAAATTACAAAGGACAAATTCTTTTAAATAAGTGAATGTTTTATAATAGTTCTGCTGGCCAGACATCCTGTACTCAGTGTGCAGTAGGGACGTACAAAACAGGAAGTGGGGCAGGCAGCTGTGCACCATGTGAGGCTGGCTATGAGTGTCCAACAACCACTGCTAGTAAGTTTATAACGGGAATACTACTACTTTTATTCTACTTTATTGTTTTGATTTACTTGTGCCTTTCTTTGGTAATCATCACTTTAATAATAACAATGGATTTTAACTTTTCTACCAATAGGATCTGCATGCAGCAGTGGCTACTACTCCCTGGGAGGGAACACAGCCTGTATCCCCTGTCCGGGGGGTTATTCCTGTGCCAGTACCAGCTCCAGCCCAGTGTTATGTACAGCGGGAAACTATGCCAACAACGCAAGCACTTCCTGTACTCCATGTGCCGCTGGATATTACTGTCCCACTGACGCCATGTCTGAACCCCTGGCTTGTCCTACAGGCTTCTTCCAAACCAGCACCGGCCAGACAAGCTGCACTGAGTGTGGACAAGGTAAATATTGGAAAAAGTTAAATATTAACAAGGAATGAGAACAATGGTAAAAAAATAGGAGAAAAGCAATACGTTATATGAAGTGTAAGCTGCTTTGTCATTAATCTTACAACTAACTTTGTCAACAGGTTATAAATGCCCAAACAAGACTGTGACCCAGGAAGCTTGTCCCAAAGGAGAGTACCAAGATGGCAGAGGCATGGAATCTTGTAAATCTGTAAGTAACCACAATAAATGCAGAAATCTTTGGGAAAAACTATTTTTTGAAGTCAAAAAAAGACTTTTTTATTGTCTTGCTGGATTCGTGATTGTAGTGTCCCTCTGGTTACTATGCCGACACTACAGGGAAGGTGACCTGTACCATTTGTCCCGCAGGGTCCAGCTGTTCTGATCCCACCGTAGCTCCTGTACCCTGTCCCAGTGGCCAGGTATGCCTCACTAGAATCAATATAAGAACTGATTTTCTTTTGTTGAAAGCCATTTTGATCTGAACTGTTCAAAGCATTTTTAACTTGTAGTCTTACATTTAGATCCATTGTCAGAATGTTCATTTTTTGTGTCTTTCAGTATTCCCTTGCTGGTGCCACATCCTGTACTACCTGTCCTGCTGGGTATGCATGTTCTTCAGGTACCCAGACAGCCTGCACAGTAAGTACAAGGAGATTACAACTGTCATTAGATTTGGAGTTGCTTTCATATTTCATATTGGACATGAATTTATTCCAAGTTCTGAGTTTTTCCCAAACTCAGCGCTTGTAAATGATGTTATCTTGTTATTTTACTCAGAGTGGACAATACTCCAATGGGACCCACTGTCTGGGCTGTCCAGCTGGTACATACTGTGCCTCCCCAACTCTGGGCAGTGTGGTGTGTAGTAATGGTCAGTACCAGCCCAGCACTGGTCAGACCTCCTGTCTCCAGTGTCCCAGTGGTCAGTCCTGTTTGGATAAAACAGCTGCTCCTGTAGATTGTATTGGAGGATACTTCAGCTTGGCTGGGGAAGAAACATGCACTGTAAGACATATATGGAATGTTTTACCCAGTACATTATTTTGAACAGAACAATAATTTTGATGTACCTGAGGAGTACATACTTGCTTGAAATCATATTCATGTATCATTATAAGAATTTTTTTAGAAGGCTTTTATTTCATGTACGGTATATGTATTATATAGAATTAGGATTTTGTTCCCATGTCTATTGTTACTGATGAAAGTTTCCTTCTTTTAGAAATGTCCTGATGGTTACTATAGCTTGGCTCAGGCTGGATCCTGTACTCAGTGCCCCGCTGGACAGAAATGTTTCGATGGATCAAACTTTATTTCTCCCACTAACTGTAATGCAGGGTATTACAGTGCTCTAGGACAGACAACATGTACAATCTGTGAAGCAGGTAAATAACTATTTTGAAATGACAGAAATTTGGTTTGTTGGCAAGGCTGAAATGTGAAAATTGAAGAAAAAAACTTTTTGTTGTTTTCTCTCCATATGAAAATGGTTTCTTAATATTGATCATGATGAAAAATAAGTTATTTTTGTTAAGTTTATCTTAGTTTTTTAAACTCTATTTTATAGATATTGCTTAGTTGAAAGAGATTTTTGTTGTTGTTTAAACTCTGATATGCTACTGATCATCTCGTAACACCTTTTGTAGGATACACAAGTTCTGCAGCGGCGTCTTCCTGTTCCCAATGTTCAGCAGGATTTCAGTGTCTGGATCCTACCAATCCAGTCGCTTGTACAAGTGGTTATTACAGTCTGTCTGGAAAGGCAAGGATTGAATGAAAAAACTATTGTCAATTTACCTGAGTTTGTTTTTTATTAATCTTTAAAATGACCGCCCAACAATAGTGTAGTTTATTATGATTTTTTTTTACAACTCTTGTCAATTTTATTTTTTACTGTTTTTCTGCAGACAACATCCTGTACCCAGTGTCCTGCTGGATTTTCCTGTAGTGCAAACAACGTTTCCCCAGTAGCATGCCCCAGTGGTACTTACTCCAATGCAGGACAGACATCTTGTACAGCCTGCCCAGCAGGATCAACTTGTGACGGAGGGTCACCCACCAGTTGTGGGACAGGATATTACAGTCCTTCAGTAAGAGGCCTTTCTTGTTAATGTTTGTGGAACATTGTTATAACAGCATTGATAAATAGAGCATCGTAGCATCTTATAGATAGTAAGAGACAAAAGAGATATATAGTTTAAAGTCTTCATCAACAAATATATACATTTGTGGTATTTCTCCATTATATAAACATACAGAGAACAAATATCTTTAATTCTGTATGAAGTTTGTATTAGGTCAGGGTGTATTTTTCACACGGCGCAATATCTACATCAATATGAAATGATTAATGACTTGCTCTACATGTATAAAAATGAACAAAGTAAACAAGTAAAATAATCATTATTTTATTTACAATGTAAACAAGTATTTCATCTTTAGCTCAAACTTAGCTTTTCATGATTTGCTATTTCTTCTTTGGTTCCATCATAGTTTTCAATTTTCATCTTCTTCTCGAGCATAGGCACATTTTTTACCAAACTTGCCACAAAGTATCCTTGGGTGAAGGGGATTTTTTGTTAATTGCCACGCCATTTTCCAAGGGGAGATAATCATGAATTTGTTAAAAATTAATGGCAAAAAATCTTCTTCTCCATTTCGCTGGGCCAGGAAATGCGTCATGTGGAAATTTCAGATTCAAGTTTGTTCAAATCATGACCCCCGTCATTTTTACATAGGAATATATAGGAAAAATCTTTAAAAATCTTCTTCTCCAGTACCACTGGGCCAGAAAGATGTTCATGTGGAATCATCCTCAGGTAGTGTGGATTCAAGTTCACTACCCAAGCTGTTCAAATGTTTGTATATAGGAAGAATCTTTAAAAATCTTCTTCTCCAGAACCACTGGGCCAGGTAAGATGAAACTCATGTGAAATCATCCTCAGGTAGTGCAGATTCAAATTTGTTCAAACAAACCCCCGGGGCTATTACACATTATGGTACCTGTTTTACATAGGGATATATAGGGAAACCTTTTAATAGTCAAATATAATTAGTGATATTTATATGGAAATTGATTATTAAATTCTAGTTTGTTGAAATGATGAACGCCTGGAGGGGGGGTAAAACAAATGTGCTCAAAAAATTTATCCTGTGTACATAGAGAATATATACCGATAGAAACTAGATCTAGCCTTTGTAAGTTTCATTAGTTTGTTTAGGCCTACAAGTTTTATGTCACTTTTGTCATCTGCACAGTCTCTAACGTTTATCCTTATTTTTTGGGTAGACCTCAAGATAAATCTTCATGATAAACTATATTTTTTTTCATTAAATTCTACTCATGATAAATGTGTCAATATGTTGGAAAATAACAAAGCATCACAATCACGCCCCGAACAGCTGATAAACACCTCAGGTTGTCATAGTTCAATGTAAGCTGTCGCCAGTGTCTCCGTGTCTACATCATAATTATACATTTAGTTATTGAAATCGTAGATTGAATATTTATCAAATTTAATGCTTGATTGCAAATTAACTGGCTCGGTCAATTTTTCCAAATCACCCTCACTTTCCAGTGAAAAAAAAACTTTGACAGAATTTTTACATCGTGTTTCTTGTGTCTTTTCAGCATTGATTATCAATTTTCATGAATAAAAATATTCTTTTCTTTTAGTATATTTAGCCTTTCACAAAATATTTTGTGCTTTGAATTTACAACGTAATAAGCGTTCTATCTTATAAAACCGTCACTGTAATAGCGGGTCTCTACTGTATTGTTATAACAGCATTGATAAATAGAGCATCATAGTGAGTTCTTATAGATAGTAAGAGACAAAAGAGATATATAGTTTAAAGTCTTCATCAACAATTACATGTTTGTTTTATATGTGATTATGTATTTTAATATGTAAAAAAGTAATTTCATGAATGAACTGTTCTTTCATTGCAGGGTTCTGGCTGCAGTATTTGCCCTGCCGGTTCAGAGTGCAGTGGAAGCACAGCTACCCCATGTACTTCTGGATACTACAGTCTATCTGGAGAGATGAATTGTACCATATGTCCAGCCGGTAAAATGTGCCCCTTCCCTTCCATCTCCCCCATCAATTGTCCTAGCGGTACACACACACAGAATTTGGAGGGACAGACCTCATGTACTGACTGTGCAGCCGGATTTTACTGTCCAGCTAATGCGTAAGTTTTTAGACTCCTGTATCAGGATGGAAGGTTGCCTTATTTTCTTAAAAACAATTTTACATTTGACATATTCCCAAAATGCATGAAATGTATTCTATTATTCATTATGTAATGATATTGATAATTGATTGAATTTATCTCATTAAGAATTTTTTTGGTCAGGAATGGCAAATTAAACAAGAAAAAATAATTGTATTACAATTTACAGCCCAAATCAGATTGCCTGTGCCTCTGGAGAATATTCCCTGGTAAAATCCACATCCTGTACAGCTTGTCCAGCAGGCTACTCCTGTGCCACCACTTCAGCCTCTCCTGTCGTCTGTGCTGCAGGCACTTACTCAACTGGAGGTGCTACCACTTGTACAAGCTGTGCCGCAGGTCAGGCCTGTCCATCTACCTCATCCGCATCAAACAATTATCCATGTCCTTCAGGTAAAGTAAATAAATGGAAAAGGAGGGGGGAGAGGATAATAATAATGCAAGTAAAGGCTTTAAGATTTTTTTTTTAAAAAGATGTATTCATATTATTTGATTGATTTATATGTGCATGTCGGTGTTAAACTGTACAGGGAATAGTTAAGTAAGTACTTTGACTGACAATTTTTTATTTTCTCATAGGGAGTTATTCTACTGGTTCCCAGTCTTCCTGCACACTCTGCACTGCTGGTAAAGCCTGTGCATCAACCACATCAAACGTAGAGACTCCCTGTAACGCTGGAGAGTACGCCTTTGCTGGGTCTGCTACCTGTACAGCGTGTGAAGCAGGATGGGAGTGTCCCAATGTAGATGGTAGTCAGAATGCCCAGTGTCTGCCAGGAACCTACTCTGTTGGAAGTCAGACATCATGTACCCAGTGTAATGCAGGGAAAGCTTGCCCACTCACAAACAGTGCTTCTTTTATCACTTGTACTGCAGGCTCTTATGCTCTAGCTGGAAGTACCACATGTACGGAGTGTCCACCAGGGTATGAATGTCCATCTACGACAACCAATACAGAGACCAAATGTGCTGATGGTTACTACAGTGAAGGAAGAAGAGCTGCTTGTGTGGAGTGCACAGCTGGTTACGAATGTCCCACCATTTATGACAGTTACTCAGTGGTGTGTGCTGCTGGTTATTATTCCCTAGCTGGAGCCAAAGAATGCACTGTATGTCCTGCTGGAGAGAAATGTCCTTCTACCACTAGTGCAGGGACAACATGTGGTGCTGGTACATACAGTTTAGGTGGACAGACTACTTGTACACAGTGTCCAGCTGGTTACTACTGTGCCAATAATAACCAGAAACCAGTCATATGTGGTGTGGGTAAATACAGTGCTGCAGGAGCCACGGCATGTACTGATTGTGATGCTGGGTTCTTCTGTCCTGCAGGAAGCATTCAAAAAGACCCACCCTCAGCTGTTTGTTCACTGGGATACTACTGTACGGCAGGTGCAACTGTTGAAACACCCTGTGATATGGGAAAATATGGTGCAACCAAAGGACTCACAGCTGCAGCTGATTGCACTGACTGTCCTCAAGGATTTTACTGCCCTGCGGGAACTGCTGGTGTCCCAACCAACAGTCTCATATGTCCAAGGGGGCATTACTGTCCAACAAATACAGGGGATTACAAAGCTAGTCCTTGTCCTCATGGCAAATTTTACAGTGGTTTGGGTGCAGTTAAAGTTGATGAATGTGTTGATTGTCCAGCTGGAAGATACTGCCCTCCTGGTACAGATGATCCTATGTATGATGGATACATTTGCCCTAGAGGATCTTATTGCCCGCAAGGATCAGGAACAGCACCAATAAACTGCCCAGCTGGTAAATACACAGAAGAGGAAGGAGCAATAGGATTGCAGAGCTGTAAATCTTGCCCTGCTGGACATTACTGTACATCTGGAACCCATACACCAACTCCTTGTAGTCCAGGAAAATTCAATGAATTTACAGAGAGAGGAGCAGCAACAGATTGCCAGGATTGTATTGCTGGACAAGCCTGTACTAAACATGGACTTGCTAAACCAGATTATCCATGTTCACCAGGGTATTACTGTCCAGGAGGAAACCACCTACCCAACCAACCAGAATATGCCTGTCCCGCTGGAACATTCACCGACTTTAAGAACCTGACAGCCCAGTCCCAGTGTGAGACCTGTAGATCAACCAAGGCCTGTCTGGTGGGAACTGGAGGACAGCAGAAACCACCGGTTCCTTGTGGTCAGGGCCACTTCTGTCCGGACGGAACAGCTTCTCCGACACAGTATCCCTGTCCAGCGGGAACTTACACCAACTTGACCAATCTGTACAAGGTGGAGCAGTGTACCATCTGTCCCCGGGGCTGGTACTGCTTGGAGGGATCGGCCACACCCACTGATCTGTGTGCCAAGGGACATTGGTGTCCAGATGGTAAGAATCAGCAGTCAAAAAACTTCAGATTTATTGCCAAATTTTCTCCTAAAAAACATTACTTTTTCAAATAACAGTGAATTGCTACATTCTTTCAAATAATTACAATGAAACTATTTTAACTTTCAAAGATATCTTTAAAATCTTAAGTTTCCTTTTGCACATATAAGATAATTTTAGAATCAGTATTGTTTGAATATATGAAGTTGTATCAGTTTACATTCATTGTGTATATATCTAAACTTACAGTAGAATCGTTTTAATTTGTGGGGGGTCATTGTTTGCTGGCAATAAAAATTTTAACTGGTAAATGGGATCGTAGTTGTATGTATATAATGAGGATTCATCAAACCAATATGTGAAGAATTTAAGTTACCTTTTTTTTTATCCAAAAAAATAAAATTTTCTACTTTCAGTAACAATATTTTGAAATAAGTAAATTTACTTACATTTTATAAGAATCCATTCTTCTTATTAATAAGCATTGATATTTGGACATTTTCACTTGAAGTCTTAGACTATTTTACCGCTACATTATTTAAATGTGTAGTTAAAAATTAATTTCTCAGTCCACTGATTACCTTGTGTTGACAGTGACCCATTGTAACTAACAGCATTATAACCTTATATTATCACCCTACAATTTTCCGATGTGTAGTTGGATCCAGTGAGTATATCCAGGAATTGTTGTCGTAAATTCCAAGGCGATAGATTTTCAGAATTGTCTCTAAATTAAATGAGCATGAAACCAGCATGATATATGAGATAAATCTTTTCCAAGGTGATTGTTTCATGGATTCATTGTCGGTGCTAGCAATTTAAATTCTTTTCTTTATGCATGTTTTCCTGCTGAATCCCAAAAGAACCTGTCTTTAATGTCTCTTGTCCAAGATACAGCAATAGAATATAGTTTTTGAAAAATCAAAATTGTATAATATCATTTACTGTACAACATATTTAGAGGAAAGACTTTATTTGCAACATAATCAAAGGACTTAAGCTCCTGCAATATAGGCTGGAAATCAAAAACACAAAGTATGATCTAGTAACTGGTATATGTCTTTTTCAGAATACTTAAGTAATTTTTTTTGTATTAGATAAAAACCTGCTGTAGTAAGCTTTCAGTATGAACTTATGTTTATTCCTATCATTTTAGAGACCCTTTGCTAAAGCTTACTTCGAAACTCAGACAAGAGAATGCATGTAGATATTTGTAAAGTTTTGCATGGGTTTAATTGTTACAAAGGATGCCACTTCAGATAAATTTACTCTCCTGTAGTGTTGATTGGAGGCACATGCTATCCGGCTGATTATAATTGCTGATTTTCTGTGATGTAGGTACCCCCACAGCCACCACTAACCCCTGTCATGCCGGGTCCTACAGCAACAAGACAGGGAACACGGCCTGGGAGCAGTGTGATGATTGTCCCGAGGGTCACTACTGTCCACAGGCATCTGTACTACCCACAGCCTGCCCCGCGTAAGTACTTATTACTCACAGTACAATTATATCAGATGGAATGGCCCTTCTCTGTTAAACCTGCTGCTGCTTCTTGAAAAGATAAAAATTAGAGTCTAGTGTTATGCCTTCTGGAAAGTATGTAATAGCTGTTTATTTAAATGATATATGTAAATTTTGACATCTGTAATTGTTCTTTTTTACAGTGGAAAATACAACAATCAGATCAAGGGTGAGAACATCACTTACTGTGTGGACTGTACTGCGGGATATTACTGCCCAGGGACTGGTAACGTGGACCCCATCATCTGTGACAAGGGAAATTACTCTGACTCCGGAGCCTCGGCCTGTACCACATGTGAAGCTGGCTACTACTGTAATCTGAATGCCACCAGTATGACCTTCATGTACAGTGACCGAATCTGTCCAGCTGGTCTGGAATGTCCACCAGGAATGACCAGGGCACCAGAACTTGTCACAGATAAATGTCGCAAAGGTCACTACTGTCCAAAGGGAGATGTTAATCCTTACCCCGTGCCTTGTCCTAATGGAACATTCAATGCTGAATACGGCCTTAAACAGGTATCAGAATGTCAACAGTGTACACCAGGTATGTACTGTATACCGGAGGGATTATCTACCCCTGCTGGGGACTGTCCAGGAGGTTATTACTGTCCGCTGGGTACAGCTGCACCTGATTCTTATCCTTGTCCCATTGGATTCTACAGAAATGGTTCAGCAAAGGAGTCATTCCAAGACTGCGCTGAATGTATTTCTGGTTATTACTGTGATAGAGAGGGACTAGCCATTCCCATTGATTGCCCTGCTGGATCTTTCTGTGTCAGTGGAAGCACTTTCCCACAGCCCTGTGCCCTGGGAACCTACAGCAATTCCACAGGTCTACGTAGGAGTACCGACTGCACCCCTTGTCCTGGGGGTTATTATTGTGATGGCATAGGACGAACTGCTCCAACAGATGTGTGTGATCCAGGATTTTACTGTAGAGAGAAGGCCTACTCCTCAGCCCCTCCTGATGGCCTCACAGGAGGGCTGTGCCCTGCAGGAGGTTACTGCCCAGCTGGGTCTGCCACTCCCACTTCATGTCCTGTAGGGGAGTACAGTAAAAGTCCTGGAGCTAAGACCAAGTTTGACTGTATTCCCTGTGACCCTGGGTATTATTGTGCTGGTTCTAGTAGTACTTCAGCCTCATCCATGTGTGCTGCTGGGTTTTATTGTACTGGAGGATCAGGAGTACCCACCCAGTACTCCACCCCGGCTGGTCACTACACAAAAGAAGGAGCCTTCAAACCAGAGCCCTGTCCTGCTGGCCAATTCCAGCTTGCCAAAGAGTCATCTCAATGTGAATTGTGTAGCCAGGGTTACTACTGTAATGGAACTGGAACAGTTGATCAGATTTTGTGTCCAAGAGGATACTATTGTCCTGAAGGCAGTAGCTATCCTACACCTTGTCCTCGAGGAACATTCCTGAAGGATACTGGGAAGTATGAGGTGGGCCACTGTGATCCTTGTACCACTGGTTATGCCTGTGATTCTGTAGGACTTCCTGAGGCTGTGACTCCTTGCTCTGCGGGACATTACTGTACATTAGGATCTAACATGACTGATCCTGTAGGACAAACTTTCGGTGATTTCTGTCCGCCTGGCTATTATTGTCCTGAGGGCACAGGAGACTATCAGCATTATCCTTGTGCAAACGGAACATACAGTGCTTACACAGGTTAGTTTTTTACCTCTTTCAGATCTGTGCTTAAAAAGTTAGAGAAAAGTTGAAAATGAAGTACGTATTGTTTCTGTTGATTAATACAATCAATTTCTATTATAATAATAGGTAACATGGGAGAGAGTAACTGCACTGCCTGTGATGGAGGTAAAGCTTGTGTTGGGGCCGGTCTGACTGCCCCCAATAGGAACTGTTCAGCTGGGTATTACTGTAAGTCAGGGGCCTACTCAGACACACCTATGGATGGAGGAGCCACTGGTGACCCATGTACCAAGGGTCACTACTGTCCGGAGGGCACCAGCACTCCCCTGGCCTGTCCAGCAGGGTCCTACATGAACACCACAGGGTACTCCTACTGTTTCGACTGTCCAGCAGGATTTTTCTGTGTTTCGGGAGAAGTAGACCCCTTGAGGTGCCCCAGAGGAAGATATTGCCCTGGTAACACTACAGCTGATCAACCACCCTGTCCTACAGGCACATACAACCCAGATTATGGTCAGTACAACAAGATATATTTAATTAATCTAAATCAGTTAGGTGAATTGTGCACAATACATAGAATTTGTTACTAGTTATAGACTACTTCTGAAAATTACATTTGCCTTTTATTTCAATAAAGAGATGTAAGTTAATTCTGTGTTAAAGCTGTATGAATATCACATGCATAATCAACTGATTTAAAAATATTTATTTTCCACAGGAATGACCAAGGAATCAGACTGCCTGCCTTGTTCTGGAGGGTACTATTGTTACAAACTTGGTGCCATTAATTTTGACTTCAGCTTGAATGACACAGGAACAGGCCAGTGTGGTGCAGGGTATTACTGTAAATCAGGTACAGTATCAGAACTTGGAGAAGATTTCAGAAAAAGAGGAGATATTTAATGTACCTTTTGATAAATGTTTCATAAGGAAAATTTGCCTGTCTATGAGTGCTCAACTCCTTTACAAGCAATGTGAAGGTCATTTGTCATATGGGATCAGTATTTTATTTCACCAGTACTTACTCTATTACAGGAGTAAATGTGAGTACCCCCACTCCTGCTACCACCAGTGGTATTGGAGGCCCCTGTCCCCCGGGATTCTACTGTCCAGTACAAACAGAGGATCCTGTCTCCTGCCCCAATGGTACCTACAGAGACCTGCCCCAGGGAGAGAAGGTGGAGGACTGCTGGCCGTGTAAACTAGGACATTACTGTGGAACAAAGAACCTTACTGATGCTACAGGACCATGTTCTAAAGGATTCTACTGCTACAGAGGGAACAATGTCCCAACACCAATAGGTAAACTGTCTTAAAATATGTTTAAAAATTTTAATTGTCCTCTGGAAATTCTTTTTTAGGTTTGTGATTTTAAAGACTTTCTTATAAAAATTCTCTTTCCATGACCGTTGGGTATTTGAAAGATTTCAGAATGCAAGGTGAGATTGCAAAAAAGAGTAGATATTGTTGTAAACAAACTGTGACATTGGTAATTGTGTTTTAAACAGGAGATCAGCCTGATATAGGAGGTCCATGTCCTGTCTCTCACTACTGCCCAGAAGGAACCTCCACCCCTCTGGCTTGTCCCTCGGGCACCTACAACAATCTGACCGGTCAGTGGAACTGTACAGAATGTCCCGCGGGCTTCTACTGTAATGAAAACACAACCACCTATGAACCCTTCCCTTGTCCCATGGGATATTATTGTCCCAATGGAACCAAGAATGCCAATGAGTATCCTTGTCCCAAGGGAACTTACCGTGACACTTTGATGGGACAGAGTGAGTCAGATTGTCTCCCTTGTACAGCTGGAAACTACTGTGGAACACAAGGTCTCAGTGCTGTGTCAGGCCAGTGTACTGCAGGTCAGTTACAGGATATAATTTATTCACTCTAATAAGATATTTGCTAACTAGCTGAGATGATATAATTTTCATTTCTAATTAAATGATAATATGTGTTCCACCTGTGGTTTTCAGGCTATTTCTGTGTCCTTGGTGCCTGGTCAGCCACACCAACAGACTACAACAATTTTACATCAGGAGACTGTCTATGTCCAGCTAACAGCACTGGGGGGATATGTCAGCCAGGTTACTACTGTCCCACAGGATCCAGGGAACCCACAGTGTGTGATGAAGGCCACTACTGCGACACACCAGGTATAACATCTAAACAACTTATAATCCTAAATTAAACATAGTAACACTAAACATCATGTGTAAATGATAAGGGATAATTGACTCTATGCTACTTGAATCATTGCTGATCCATTTATTTTCTAGGTTTGGCCTCCACTGCTGGTCAGTGCCAGGCTGGATACTATTGTGCTGGACGAGCTGACCGGCAGGATCCTACTGATGGAGTCACAGGAAATATCTGTCCACCGGGAAGATATTGTGGTAGGTGTTACACATATACATACACAGACACATATATTTTCTTAAAGTTGGAAATGGGTTCTACATTTTATGAACTGTAGCATAGTTATGAGTGATCATACTCATTGCCTTTTCTCATGGTTGTATCTTACAGGAGTTGGAACCACGAGCAATCAACCAAAATGTCCAACAGGCACCTTTTCGAACAAGACAGGGAACACTCTGACATCAGATTGTACGCCGTGTACTCAGGGATACTACTGCCAGAATGAGGGGCTGACAGAACCCACTGGACCATGTGATGCAGGTGAGTTTGTTTGGTGGAATGTAACAAGTAATGCTCCAACAAATACGTCTTGATCATCAAACCTTTATTCATCTTTGAATATTTAAACTTACTGCTGTTTTTCAGGATACTACTGTCCGACTGGTCAGAACATGAGTAATCCTTTCGTTTGTTTGGCTGGTTTCTACTGCCCAGTGGGAAGTTTTGAACAGATCAAATGTCCATCTGGTCAGTACCAAGACCAACAAGGCCAGGCATCCTGTAAAACATGTCCACCAGGTCTGTATCTCATCACAGAGTGTGTTGGGGGGTATACTTTACATAAATATATTATAGTATTAAATGGTAAAACTATTTTATCCGTACAAATTTATTTATAATTTACAGAACTGATCTGTTAATATCACTGATGCACTGACGTTTTTCTTTGTAGGCTATTACTGTGACATTGCTAACTCCCCTGTAATTACCTACACCCCCTACCCCTGTCCACTGGGTCACTATTGTCCTAATGGCACAGAGTCCAGCACTCACTACCCCTGTCCAGCGGGAACTTACAATCCATACACAAAACTCCGAGATGTCACGGATTGTACAGCATGTGATGCCGGGAAATATTGTGGAACTAATGGACTTACTGCAGTCACAGGTCAGTATTTAGACATTTCTACTGCTGTAACTGTATTTGAGAAGTTTTTAACCAACTAATTTCATTTCACTTTTCCTGATATTTAGCAGTAAATAATGCATAGCTGTCCTTTATTAAAAAGAATACAGTGTGAAAAATGTGAATGTGTTGTTACCACTGGAGTACAGCAACCCTTTATAGCAATTTTGAACTTTGTGTGAAATTTTTATGAGTATCATGCAATTTATTCCAATAAAAAGAAAGAAATTCCAAATTATTTCATTTTTAAAAAGGTGACTGTTTGGCTCAGTATTGGTGTATAAATGGATCTTCTACCTCCACGCCCACTGATGGGGTCACAGGTCAACTATGTCCAGCTGGCCATTACTGTGTACAGGGAACCCCCGTCCCTACTCCTTGTCCACTAGGTAAGGTCACCTTCTGATTTCAGATATGTAGAAGTAATTTGATCCATGTCTTATACAAAGTTCTGTGGAAATGTTCCTTTAGTTAAAGAAAGATGTTTTTTCAATAGTAAAATTTAAATTGTGATGTACATTATAGGTACCTGGTCCAACAGTACTGGTCTGGCACTGGCTGGAGAATGTACTGACTGCTCAGGAGGGCAATATTGTGACACCACAGGGCTGACTTCACCCACAGGGCCATGTTCTCCAGGGTACTACTGCGCAGGAAAATCCATCACAGCCACACCAAATGACACCACAACTGGAGACCCCTGTACAATAGGGCACTACTGCCCAGAGGGCACCGCGGTCCCAGTACCTTGTCCAGACGGGAAGTACATGACCAACACTGGTGCTGCTGAATGCTGGAACTGCACACCAGGGCATTATTGTATCACTGGTTTGACTCCTGATGATTGCCCTCCTGGATATTACTGCCCAGAAGGCACAGGGCAGATCTGGCAATCTTGCCCTCTGGGAACCTTCAGTACTTCCACAGGCCTCTGGGATGCAGATAACTGTACACAGTGTACCGGAGGCTGGTATTGTGATAAACTTAATGCTACAACAGTGGCTGGTAAATGTAATGCTGGGTACTACTGTACCTCAGGATCAAACACACCGTCACCAGACGTCAACAATACTGGGGTCGCTGGACCGTGTCCAACAGGTCATTATTGCCCTCAACAGACCACCACACCTCTACCCTGTCCACTGGGAACCTTTAACAACCAGACTAAATTAACACTGCAGTCAGAATGCACACCTTGTTCTTATGGAAAATACTGTGGGTCAACAGGTCTCACTGAGCCCTCTGGAGATTGCTGGGCTGGATTCTACTGTCTCCAGGGAGCTCAGTCACCAAACAATCCAGTGGTAGATGCCACAGGAGGGCCCTGTCCTATTGGCAGTTATTGTCCTAATGGAACCTCGTATCCACTGGGATGCCCAGCAGGAACATACAATCCATCCACCGGACTGGCTGAATGTATACAATGTCCAGCAGGCTACTACTGCCCTGAAAATTCTACCAACTATGTAGGAAATGACTGTCCCAAGGGTCACTACTGTCTGGCAGGAACTGGTAGCATGAACCAATACCCATGTAGTATAGGTACCTATAATGACTATACAGGCAAGCAGTCCAGTGCTGACTGTGTGCCTTGTGATCCTGGTAAATATTGTGCCACGCCCGGACTCTCCCTCCCCACAGGAGACTGTTTGGCAGGGTGGTACTGTGTGCGGGGGGCATCCTCCAACCAGCCCACTGACATCACCATATTTAACTACACCATGTCTTCCTGTTTCTGTCCTGTCAACCAAACAGGAGGAAAATGTCAGCCAGGAGAGTATTGTCCAACAGGCTCAGATCAACCCCAGTCCTGCCTTCCAGGTCAGTAGTAGTACTTGTATCAGTTTTAGACTATTCAGATTATTGAAGTTTGGTTTATGAATTGCGATGCTGAGACTTTTAAATAAGGACTGTTTTCAATGCATATAGGGTGACTGTGCCAATTTCACTAAAAATTAAATTCTGTTGACTACAGAATTATTGAATCAGACCACATTGAATATTTTTTTAATTACAGGATACTACTGTGGCTCTGCTGGATTGGCCAATGTCACAGGGCCATGTGATGCTGGCTACTACTGCACACTGGGAGCGACACGATCAGACCCCCAGAATGATGCCACAGGGGGCACCTGTCCTACTGGTCACTACTGTCCTCAGGGGACTGGTGTCCCTCAGGGCTGTCCTCCTGGCTACTTCTCAAACGCCACTGGGAATGTGGACTTCTCTGGCTGTAAACTCTGTACTGCAGGTATGCATTACATGATGGGGAGACTCTATGAAATTTATATCAAATTAACTTCAAATAATGCTTGAAAAACTCAGTTTTTTGAAAGTGACAAATTTGCTGACAGGTGGTATAATTTTAACAAAATTTGCTATCTTTGTGAACAAAGTTAAGAATACTAAGAGTTAAATTTATTTCATGTTTTGTAGGTTCTTACTGTGAGACAACTGGACTCTCAGCCCCTACTGGTGACTGTTCTATTGGGTACTACTGTCCAGCGGGCCAGAACGTCAGTAACCCCACAGCTTACGTGTGTACCCCTGGTCATTACTGTCCAGCTGGGAGTCCCTCAGAGGTCTCCTGTCCCTCTGGCTCATACCAAAATCAACTAGGACAGGTAAATATAGGCCATTTCATTCCGTATTTCTATCCTAGGGACTTACATTTTACATTTTAGGTTATTGGCCATCAGTAAACATTCATTGAAATATAAAATACATTTCTTGAAATATAAGCGATATTTGGGCGAGGGTAGGAAAACGTGATAGAGAGCGAGGCTTGCCAAGCCCTCTTACTTTTTTGACCCGAGCCCAAATATCGCTTATATTTCAAGACAGTTATCATGTATTTTGTTTATCCTGCAACAAAATTTTACATTTGAACATCCAAAACAAGCTATTTCCGACAGATTTAGGCACATCTCTGCAGTTGAAACTATGACGCCATGGCGTAAACATTGCAGTATACGTGATGTCACAATGCTTTTAGGATGTCGGAATACATGCAGGCTTTATTAGGGCAGTGACTGGATAAAGCTTTGGTTTATTAGGTTACCTTTATTTGTTCAATGCAAGGGGTAGTTGCAGGATAAAATACTGTAGAAGTACTTTTTTCCGTGTGGTATTTATTTACGCTATGTAAGCAATCACAAAATTCTGCAGAAATTTGTCAAGCGTACTTAATAAAAATGCAAGGCATATAGAGACAGTCAAAGAAATCCATGTAATTTTCAACCCATGGATTAAACGGAAGTTGATTTTCTGTGGAATTATCACCCCATGGAAAAAAGTATGTCTACAGTATTTAAAACATTTAACAAATCATATGAATTTTATGTCAAACTTTGCGTGTTGTTTTCTTTATATCAGGGATCTTGTAAGAATTGCCCAGAAGGGTATTACTGTGATGGCACTATACAAAACAGTACCTTCTGTTCTACTGGTGTCCAAAACCCCACACCTTGTCAACCAGGCTACTATTGTCCCAATGGAACTAAATACTCCACCGAGTTTGGCTGTCCTAACGGTACATACAGTGACCAGTCTTACCTGAAGATGGCTAGTGAGTGTATCACCTGCCCGGGAGGCAAGTACTGTGGACAGGAAGGTCTATCAGCGCCCTCTGGTGACTGTCATGGTGGCTACGTCTGTATACTGGGGGCCTACACTGCCACACCCACCGATGGCACCACTGGCAAGATCTGTGATGCTGGAGCATACTGTCCTGTAGGATCCAATAGCACCACCCTGTGTCCAGCCGGAACATACAGTCCCACTCAAGGTAATATGGATTTCAGTTACTGATCCTTATAGAGGTTAAATGTTTGTGTACAGCTTTAACCTTAACTTTAAGGATGGAAAACTGATAATTTGATTTTAGTTAAAGTGAAAATAGTATAAACCTTTCTATTTCAGGTCTGCAGTACCTAACTGAGTGTACTGGGTGTACTCCAGGAATGTTTTGTCCAAACAATGGAATGACAGCTCCTCAAGGAAACTGTTCTGCTCAGTACTACTGTGCTGGTAATGCCACGACAGCCACGCCTACCGATGGAGTGACTGGTAATGTTTGTCCAGTGGGACATTACTGCCCAGAGGGAACACCCACTGCCATTCCATGTGACCCAGGCTATTACACAGACACCACCCACAACTCAGTGTGTCAGATTTGCCCCGCTGGTAAATACTGCACAACAGGGTCTAATCCTCAGGCCTGTCCAGCTGGGTTCTACTGTCCTGAGGGAACAGGACATGTCTGGCAAACCTGTCCAGCAGGAACATTCAATCCAAGCACAGGACTGTCCAACGTCACTGAATGTACTCAATGTACCGGAGGATTCTACTGCGATGTGACCAATCTGACTGCAGTTGCAGGTCCCTGTGCCGCAGGGTACTTCTGCAGAAGTGGATCAGATGATGAGACACCAAGTGGCTCCACGGCTGGAGATGCAGGGCCCTGTCCAATTGGTCACTATTGTACACTACAAACTCAGGACCCAATGCCATGCCCAGCTGGAACCTTCAACAACCGTACGATGCTCCAAGCTGAATCTGAGTGCCAACAGTGTACACCTGGATACTATTGTGACGTTCCAGGTCTGGAGTACCCAACTGGAATCTGTAATCCTGGCTTCTTCTGTGCTGGAGGTTCTAATTCATCCAGTCCTTCTACCACTGATGCCACCGGAGGACCGTGTCCAGCAGGCACTTACTGTCCAGCAGGAACCAGTGTAGCCATCAACTGTACAGCAGGCACCTACTCCCTGACTGACCAGCAGTCTAACTGCACAACATGTCCCAGTGGTTATTACTGTCCATCTGGGAGCAGCAGCATTACTGCCTGTCCTCAAGGTGAAAACTTATGTAGCTTCTGTTGTATTTAGTATTTAGAAAAAAAGGATGATTTCAATGATACATCTAAATTCTTGAAGTGTTTTTAAGCTATCCTAATTCAGAAATAAATCTATTTAAGGTTACTACTGTCCACTGGCCACAGAGTTTGCCTACCAATATCCATGTCCAAATGGTACATACAACAATATAACAGGAGCCCAGGATTCTAGTCTCTGTCAGATCTGCCCTCCAGGGGAGTACTGCCCTACCCCGGGGCTGGGCCTACCCGCTGGGAAGTGTTCTGGAGGCTGGTACTGTACCTCTGGCTCCTGGTCCAGTCAGCCAGCAGTTTTAGGTAATGACACTGGTTCTACCTGTGACTGCCCGGCTCAGAGTATTGGTGGGAAATGCCAGGCGGGTACCTTCTGTCCAGAAGGATCCTCAGCTCCTACCTCCTGTCTCGGAGGACATTATTGTGATGTGGCGGGTCTAGATAATGTTACTGGAGAGTGTTTACCAGGTAATCAATCAATTATACTTGATAAATTTTCAGTAATTTTTAAATGGACAAAAATATTGATAACACTGAGGAAATATGCATTTAAATACTATGATTGTTTTTATTGATCATAAATAGTAAATTACATAAATATGTTAATATTTGTCAATAGGATATTACTGCAGTGGAGGTGCCATTTTAATGAATCCTATCAATGAAACATATGGCGACATCTGTCCTAAGGGACACTACTGTCCTCAGGCCAGTTCTTATGCAATACCCTGTGCTGAAGGAACATTTAACAACTGGTTTGGAGCTTACAACATCTCCACATGTCTGCCATGCACAGCTGGCAAGTACTGTTCAGGAACAGGTAGAGCACTGCCTAATGATGACTGTGACATGGGATGGTATTGTCCTGAAGGTTCTATTGTTCCACAGCCTCCAGGAAAACAATGCCTGGCAGGGCATATGTGTCCTAAGGGCAGTCCTTCACAGACTCCCTGCTCCTCTGGATATTATCAACCTCTTCCTGGACAGGGGGCTTGTACAGAGTGCCCTGCTGGTAAGCTGCTTAAATAGCTCAGATTTTTATGCATTTCATTTAAAGAAATCCCAGTGTATTTTGATTAGACTCAATCTTTTTTAATATTGACATCTAGATAATGTATTAAAATCAATATGTACTGTTATTGTGCTCTTTTCAGGAAAATACTGCTCTCAGACTGAGGCTATTGCAGAACAACAAAGTGGATTGAATGCTTCCTCACATGGAGTTGTCACACCAAAAGACTGTCCCTCAGGATTCTACTGTCCTAATGGTACACAGACTGACAGAGAAAACCCCTGTCCTGTGGGGACATATAGTAACACCACGGGTCTGGAGAGTGTGGCGGAGTGTACCGACTGCCCACCAGGTTATTACTGCGACTCCGAGAACATCACGGAACCATCCGGACAATGTTTTGCGGGGTATTATTGTGTCTTGAAGTCTGCCTCTCCCACTCCATCACTGTCAGCTGCTGGTGGCCCCTGTCCCCAGGGATCCTACTGTGAGGTGGGCTGGTCCTACCCCACACCTTGTCCCAAGGGAACCTATGGAGATAGAGAGCAGCTTCCATCTTTGAATGACTGTACATTCTGTCCACCTGGAGACTACTGTTCCTCTTCCAATCTGAATGCTTCCACAGGGTCTTGTTTGGCTGGGTACTACTGCACTAATGGATCAGAGGAGGCCAATCCAGTGGGTAAAACATATGGTGATGAGTGCCCAGCTGGTCACTACTGTCCAGAAAAAAGTTACCAGCCCACAGCCTGCCCAGTAGGGACCTACAATCCCAGCAACAGAAGCACCAACCAGACAGCATGTCTGTCCTGTGACCCCGGTAAATTCTGTAATAGTACAGGACTATCTGCAGTGTCAGGGGACTGCCTGGATGGATTCTATTGTACTGGAGGAGCTAGTTCTTCTGCTCCCTATGATGGAACAACTGGAAACATTTGTCCTGCTGGGTCCTACTGCCCTGCAGGGTCTCCACAGCACCTGTTCTGTCCCAACGGCACCTACACTAACCACACAGGGGCTTCCTCCTGTTACGATTGTCCAGAGGGTTATTACTGTGTGAACAAAGACCGGGCTGACCTGTGCCCACCTGGGTATTACTGCCCGTACCAGACAGGAGCAGACCTCCAGCCCTGTCCGGCAGGAACCTACAACCCAGTGTCTGGCTTGGCCAATGTCAGTCAGTGTACACAGTGTGATGGAGGGAAGTACTGCCAGGTGCCAGGTCTCTCTGCTGTCAGTGGAAACTGTAACTCAGGATTCTTCTGTACATCTGGTAAGTCAACAGACTCAGCAATCCTACCATCATCAATTTTCTAGGCTTTATAAGTTATTTGGTCTTGTATCTTCTCAAACGAAATTTGTTTTGAATTATTTCCTAGCTACTTGTTTTAAAATTTTTTTTTTCCAAGTTTGGCAATATTTAAGTTTTATTAATTAGGCATCATTTTGTGATATTTATTATGAAGAAATTTATTTTAACATTTTGTATAGGACACAGCCAGTCCTGCAGGGTAGTAAAACTGCTATTCACTCGGATAAAATAAATTCTACATAGTAAAGGCATAGAAAATGTGTGTGTCCTATAGTGCATGGTTGTAGTGAATAAAATTGTTTTGATTAGTTTTCACAGTTTATATAATTGATAGCTTTGATTGCTTGGGGTATACATATTTTGAAGGCCTGAGTTATAATTACCTCATTTGATGCCGCCGCAGACATAATAAGCTTAGAGTTGTAAGAAAAGAACAGCTGATTCAAAATCTGTTAAATCACCTAAGCTTAAATTATTCGGAAACCAGCGATTTACTGGACACCCCACATATTAAAGTTCTATTAATTATGGAGTATGTAAATAATTATTCTCCTTGATTGCGACATATTTCGGGGGCTGAAAAAGAAAATGGTGAATGACGATGACGTATTTATTTGTCTTTGTGTGTGCTATTCATTTTCTTTATTTTAAAATCGTAAATCTTTGACGATATCGTATGTGTGTATTGTAAATATAATGTCCCTATACAGTATAATTGTGCATTACTATATGAAGAAATTTATTTTAACATTTTGTATAGGTTATTTTGCATTTAATTTAAAGCAAATTATGTATGTGTACAGTGAGATTAACTGATGGACTGTTATTTGTACAGTGACAGTACAGGCCAGACAAACTGTACCCTGTGTCCTCTGGGTTACTACTGTGTGGAGAACTCCACTGCCTTCTCAGAGCAGCTGTGTCCCCCAGGCTATTACTGTCCAGTGGGTACCAGTAATCCATACCAGTACCCCTGTCCTAAAGGAACTTACAACCCAGTCAATGCCAGCCACTCACTCAGTGACTGTCTTACCTGTCCACCAGGACAATACTGCCAGTGTAAGTATACTTATATTGTCTACATGGGGAAAAAGAGCATGGCAAAATCAGATGATTTAAAATGCTAGTTTTGATTGTAAACTTATGTTGAACATGAATACCCGAGATGTTTCTGTACACTTTTTTTTATAGGAGAAACAATTCTTATGAAAATAAGGTTATTTTAAAAAATGCTTCAAAATATTTCCCATTATTCTAAGTATTTTCTCATTGATTTTAGCTGATGGTCTTGGTGCCACCTCTGGAAACTGCACTGCTGGGTGGTACTGTACAGGTGGTTCCTACATGGCTCAACCCACCACCACTGCCAACCAGACCAACCTACCAGACTGTACCTGTCCGTTAGCCAACTACACAGGTGGGCAGTGCTGGCCAGGTACCTACTGTCCCAGCGGAACAAACTACCCAGTTAACTGTGATCCCGGGAAGTACTGTATGCAGTCTGGATTATCTGCCCCTGAAGGTGACTGTGATGCTGGATACTACTGTAATGCTAGTAGCACTCGTCCTGACCCCCCAGGAAATGAGTGCCCCGCCGGGTATTACTGTGAGGCAGGGTCAGGAACCCCCACACCATGTCCAGCTGGGACAATGTCCAACACAGGGGGAAATACAAATTCCAGTAACTGTCTCCAGTGTACTCCAGGTAATATTCAAAATCCAAAAACTTATGTTTCATCAGTATATCTAGACAAATAATACCTTTAAGGGATTTGATATATTCCCTATTGTTTTTGTGGTTTTAATGTTTTGATGTGTTATTTCTAATTTCACTCTTAGGTTATTACTGTGCTGGAACTGCCAATACCAATGTGACAGGCCTCTGCTCAGCTGGATTTTACTGCCCTGGGGGCCAGGACAGTGCCACCCCCTTAGACTACAACTGTACCATGGGTCACTACTGTCCAGCTGGCTCTGGACAGCCAGTGCCCTGTGCTGCTGGGTCATACCAAGACAATGTAGGATCTACAGCATGTCTACCATGTCCGGCAGGAAGGTTAGTATACAGTAGGATTTCTTTTTAAAATACATTCAAATCTCGTTATCTCAAACTCAAAGGGACTAAGAAAATACTTCGAGATAAAAGGGCAGAAAGCTTAAGGAATAAGAAGTTGGGACCTTACATCTACAGTAGTCTTCATGAATTCTAGAAATTTAAAGTTTTTACAGAATGAATAAATCAAAGCAATTTAAAGGCAAAATCTAATGTGCATCAAAATAATACTGTAAATCACTTTTTAAGCAATTTAAAGGAATATATAAAGCAATAACCACAACTCGTAAAATTTTGTGCATCAAAATAATAAAATAAGGTGTCGTGAAAATTTAGTGATCTACAGTACTGAAAACTCGAAAAAAAAAATAATATGGCATTTCTAAAATAAATAATTTTTTTAACTCTAAAAATATGCATGATTTTCCTTGCTCAGTTACTGTGATCCTGTGGAAGCTGCTGCCTCACTGGGAATCAATGGAACAGGAGTGGTCACCCCCACGGACTGTCCCCGGGGTCACTACTGCCCCCAGAGTACCCCCAGCAGTACCACCTACCCTTGTCCTTTGGGAACCTTCAACAATGGCACAAAACTTCAGACAGCCAGCTCCTGTCTCTCCTGTACAGCTGGCTACTACTGTGGGGCTCTTGGTAAGCAGAAACACTGATCTCAGATTGGAAGCTAATCTGGAATTATTTAGAGCTTATGCTCAAAAGAATACTGGTAAATTGCAATAAAATTGTTCTTTCTCTTTTAAAGGCTTGACAGAACCAACTGCTCCTTGTGATGCTGGTTATGTGTGTACAAGTGGAGCTAACTCCTCCTCACCAACAGATGGCACCACCGGTTACGTCTGCCCAATGGGAGCATACTGCCCAGCTGGTTCTGGGTTAGAGACCAAATGTCCAACAGGAACATTTAGTAATCAGACTGGCCTCCATAATGTCTCCTCATGTGAACAGTGCATACCTGGATGGTATTGTAATGTACAAGGTCTGTAACATGCTTTAGGTGAATTATCCTCAGGTCTATTATAACCCCATTTGAAAAGCTCAGTGCGTACAGTACCTCTAGTTTCTTTTGTATCTACAGATGAGTATTTTTACAACATTACTGTTGAATTAATGTCAAGAATTCATTCAGAATATTTCTGGAATTTGTCATATTACTTCAAATTACCAGTATTAAGATTGATGCTAGTTTTTAATTGTTTAGACATGACAACATAATGATTTTTCCTGATTTTAGGCTTGACTTCTCCTGCTGGGAAATGTTTGGCTGGTCACTATTGCCTCCTGGGATCTACTGAACAGAATCCTATTGGTCAGTCCTATGGAGACTACTGTACAGCTGGTCACTACTGTCCAGAGGGCACAGGGTCCCCTGTTCATTGTCCAATTGGAACCTATCTCCCCAGCACTGGACAGTCCTTACAGATCCACTGTATTGAGTGTGCACTAGGAAAATATTGTGACACTGTTGGACAGGCCAATTTCACAGGTGAGAGTCACAGGGAACAAGTTTTTAAGAAGAGAACCTGTCAAATATATAATTGGATTTTTTGGTGATTTGTTCATTTGTTGTTGTGAGTTTCACAAAGGAAATATTTTGTTTAGATGATGTAGGAATCTTATTTTGAATCAATGTATAAGAGGTGAAATATCCGGAAGTAAAATAATTTTTTAGGTGATTGCGATGCTGGCTTCTACTGTGACCGAGGAGCCAACGTTAGCCAGCCCACTGACGGAGTCACAGGAGGGGTGTGTCCAGCAGGAAACTACTGCCCACAGGGGACTGCAGTCCCCATTCCATGTGAAGATGGTAAGCTGGAATTTTAAGTGGATAATGAAATTTCCCTACAAGAGTCTTTTTTTTTGAAAGACGCCTTTTTGCACACACTTTTACAATTTAAGTAATAATGTTTTTTTTTCCATTCAGGTTCTTATATGAATCATACCCAGGCTAGTCTGTGTGACCCTTGCCCTGCTAGATACTACTGTGTTAACAAAGACAGAGCTGATCCATGTCCAGTTGGCAAATACTGTATTGGTAGGTGTCAGAATCTTCAACATCGATTTCGATTTTAAAAGCAATTTTATGAATGGAAGAATGACATCATCTGGTGACGTGAAAATCAAGAAGTAGAGTTTATCTTTTTAAAATTCAGGAAACACAGGCTTTAACTACTCCCTGTGTCCGGCTGGAACGTACAACCCTACAGAGCTGCTGATGTCTGAGTCGGAGTGTAAGCAGTGTGATGGAGGATACTATTGTGATGTACCAGGCCTGTCTAATGTGACCGCCCCCTGTGCTGAGGGCTACTACTGTCAGAGTGGAGTCAACACTGCAGCCCCCAACAACAACAACACAGGATTCGGAGGTAAGGCTGCAGCAGTAATTAATTAGGCTATGTGGTACAGGTTTTTTATCTGTCTTTTGTTAATAATAAAAGTTTTGTTGTTTTAGATATATATGTAACAAAATATACATTTCTGTTGTTAGGTGGCTGTCCTGAATCTCACTACTGTCCACTGGGCACCACTGACCCTATCTCCTGCCCCTCCGGAACATACAATGACCTGACTCACCAGAAGATCTGCAAGTCATGTGAGCCTGGCTATTACTGTCTGGCCAACTCCACCACATACCTGTCCACACCTTGTCCTCCAGGTAACAAAGCTAAAAAGTAGTTTAAAAACTGTGTAACACAATACTATGTCTCAGGGTTCTTTACTACTGGGCCAGACCATGATGTTACTTGCAAAACTGTGCATTGAATTGCTACTTTGACATGTTTTATGTATAAATTTTACACATTGGATCTTTTATTCTTAGGTTCCTACTGCCCCAGTGGAACTCAGTTTTCCACAGAACATCTGTGCCCAGCTGGTACCTACAACAATAAAACCGGAGCCAACAGTGAATTTGATTGTCTACCTTGTACAGGCAAGTCTACAAATATCCATTTCTAAGTGGCTCTTATTCTGTGTCAAAATAAGTACATATTTATACACATGTATATCACTGATTTGATTTAATGATAGAACTATTGTTTTATAACCAGGTGGTAAATATTGCAATGGAGATGGCCTGTCTGAGCCCAGTGGTGACTGTGCTGCAGGGTGGTACTGCTCGGGTGGTGCCTACACAGACAAACCCACCACATACATCAACTCCACCACTCTGTACAGCACTAACTACTCCTGTCCTGTATATGCTCTCAACAACACCGGAGGCATTTGTGAACCAGGTACCTCAATTAAAACCTGTCACAGTTTAAACCAAAATAAAAACACATAAAACTATTGATAATAACAGCTTTAATGTGAAAAAAGTTTATTGTTTATGTCATTTATTTTGAGGCATTGTCAAAACCCAACACATTTAAATATGGTGTCAGTTAACTTTCTTAAAACTCAACTTTTAGTGTACATGTAAACATATTTAAAGTTTATTTTGTCAATTTTTTCTTTTGTATAGGATACTACTGTCCAGGGGGAAGTAACCTGCCCCTCTCCTGCAGCCTTGGTAAATACTGTGATACCTACGAGCTGTCCTCCCCCACTGGGAACTGTTCTGCAGGCTACTTCTGTAACGGTACCGCCAGTGTCCCCAACCCCAGGGAGTGTGACATGGGATACTACTGCCCAGAGGGAACAACAGTACAGGTGGCCTGCCAACCAGGAACATTCTCAAGTAGGTTTTTATGGCAAAAAATGTGTAAAGTGCTTTTCAGAATTCAAGAATGACTTAACTCTACTTTTTTGAAAAATAAAACAAACTTTTCCGTTGTCTTTGTTGTCGTCGTATTTTGTCATTGTTGTTGTTGTAAACTTTTCACATTTTCATCTTCTTCTGAACCACTGCCTTGTACTGCTGGTACAATACCTTGGGTAAAGGGGATTAAGTTTGTTCAAATGGCTGGCCACACCCTTTTCCTAATGGGAGACATGATTTAAAAAAAATTATTGGCATTTTTAAAAAATCTTCCAGAAGGCCAGGATGTACCACAACCAACCATGTGTAGATTCATGTTTGTTCATGTAGCCCAGGTCACTTTTACTGTGAATATATAGGAAGTTTTAAAAATCTTCTTCTCAAGAATGAGAAAAGATGAAACTCATGTGGAATCATCCTTAGGCAGCGTAGGTTCATGTTTGTTCAAATCATGCCCCACTGGACCAGATCAACTTGTGAATATATAGTCTTTAAAAATCTTCTTCTCAAGCCACTTTGCCAGGAAAGATGAAACTCATGTGGAATCATTGTGAAATATTTGTGTTTTGGTAACATGTGTATGACTATTTGTAAAAATTTGTATATGATTTCTCTTACATTATATGAAAGAAACATAAATTTCTTTTATTCATTGGGTGAGGGTCATGAAATAATACTTTCTTTGACACATTTCAGGAGATTATGAGGTACTGGATGCACCAAATGTGACCTTGTCAGGTAACTACACCAACAGGTTTTCAGTGTGTCTATCACGTTGTTTTCCTTTTTGGTCATGGCGATTCCCCTAATTTACAAGGGGGGTTTAGGTTATTGTTCCGAACGTCATTATTTTATTATTGTTAACTTTTACACTTGTATTGTACATTTAATGCAACTTACCTTCATTGTTTAATACTATGTGTCCAGAAGGGTCCATCAGTAACAAGGCTTGTCCTTCGGCGATGTTGTTAACTACACACAATGCACACCTTGTGATCCTGGATACTACTGCAGTGGACAAGGTATTGGAATATCTGTAGGGTATTAAGGTTACTTAAGTTTTAATAATACCTTTCTGTAGAATGGTATGCAGCTGAATAATATTTACATTGGAAGTAACACAAGGTTTTCTTGTAGGCATAATAAACGGGGAATCTTGAGGGAAAAAATATTCAAATTGTATCATTTCTTTACTTTTCTAATACTTACAGGTAACACAGAGTCTGTGACTAAGTGCTCTGCAGGTTACTACTGTACAAATGGTGCCTACAACTCCACCCCAACAGATGGCACCACAGGAAACATCTGCCCACCGGGCCGCTACTGTGAAGTGGGCAGCATTACTGGAGTGGGCTGTCCAGTGGGCACTTACAGTAACCAGGCTGGGCTACAGAGCAGTTCAGAGTGTACCAACTGTACAGGAGGCTATTACTGTGGAACGACAGGGCTCACAACAGAGTCTGGTCTCTGTCATGCAGGTTTGTATATGAAACATTCCGTTTTTGTTACATGGTTAATCTGATACTTACCTTCAACATGCCCCCATGGGTGTATTGACGAAGAAAGAAAGAATTTCATCCTCAATATCTCATCTCTATGGAAGCCCATTTAGGACGTATCAAAAAATATTTTTGAATTCGTTATAACGATTTTTAGAATTCGTTGTAATGAATTTAATTTGTTATAACAGATTTTTAAAATTCGTTATAACGAATTTAATTTGTTATAACAGATTTATTGAATTCTTTATAACGAATTTAATTTGTTATAACAGATTCATTGAATTTGTTATAACGAATTTAATTTGCTATTACAGATTCATTGAATTTGTTATAACGAATTTAATCTGTTATTACAGATTTGTTGAATTCGTTATAACCAATTCAAGAATTTGGTTATAACGAATTGAACAAATCTGTAATAACAGATTAAATAGGTTATAATGAATTCAATAAATCTGTAATAACAGATTAAATTCGTTATAACAGATTAATTTGTTATAACGAATTCAATGAATCTGTTAGAACAAATTCGTTATAACGAATTCTAAAAATCGTTAAAACGAATTCAAAAATATTTTTTGATAGGTCCTAAATGGGCTTCCGTACATCTAAGAAAATAATTATGAAACTTTTATTTTCTCTGTTAACACAGAAGGACTACATTTTTCATTAGTTTGAAATTTTCATTTTGAATTTTCACAGGATATTACTGCACCCTTGGATCAGAAGAGCCAGCTCCCATTGGTAAGGCCTATGGAGACGTGTGCCCTGCTGGATACTACTGTAACAATGGCACCCACACCCCAGCACCCTGCCCCCCTGGCACCTTCCTCAACTCTACGACTATGGGAGATATCAACGACTGTCTACAGTGTTCTCCAGGTAAACTGACAGGATATGTCCTCATTAGAAACTTCTCTGAAAGAAAAATTATTCAACATGACACAGTGACTATTTGATATTATCCTTGGTAATATTTTGAAATTGTATTTCAAAAACTTTGGAAATTTCATGTAGCAGCGTATTGTTCTTTTCATGTAACAGGTTATTACTGTGATGGACATGGACAGACAGCAGTGACAGCTCAGTGTGCTGCTGGGTACTTTTGTACTCTGGGAGCCAATACATCCACACCAACAGATGGCAGCACAGGTAATTTTTAATTTACTTTTGTTATCAGTTATAGAGATATAAACTTGGAATTTAATTTATTATTTAATGCATTCATGCAAACTCTAATATTCCTAATCTTTACACATTGTATTTTTCCTTTGTTCAGGAAACATCTGCCCAGAAGGCCATTACTGTATTCAGGGGTCTAGTAAACCTGAGCCTTGTGGAAATGGAACCTATATGAACCACACTGGTGCCTCCTCCTGCTATGTGTGTCCTGCAGGCTACTACTGTGTCAACAGAGACAGGGCAGATATCTGTCGACAGGGATACTACTGCCCAGAAGGCACCGGGGCAGACCTACAACCCTGTCCCACAGGAAGTTTTGGAAACACCACAGGACTTATCAATGAAACACAGTGTACACCATGTACAGGTAAAAGTTTGGCATTTCTCTTGTAGAAGTTATTCTGAAGTTTCCATTCAAAATGAATTATGTAAAATTGTAAATGATAAAAATAACCCCTTATAACCTTTTCTAGGTGGCTCTTTCTGTGGCACCCCTGGATCCTCCCAGCCAGATGGGGAGTGTTTGTCAGGTTATTATTGTGAGACCGGAGTTGACACCTCCACACCCACAGATTCTGGGGCCCACAAAGGCATAGGAGGGCAGTGTCCCCTCGGGTCCTACTGTCCCAAGGGATCGGCCACACCCACACCATGTGCTGCTGGAACATATACCAGTGTCAAACGTATGCAATTCATACATGTACAGTCAATTCTCGAATTATCGCCATTCGATTCATCGCCATTTTCGCAATACCGCCATGATTTCCCAAGAACGTTTTTCCTGCTATATAAAATTCTCTTTATAACGCCAAATTCGCATACCGCCATCCGCCACCCTGTTTTCACAACAAACGTCCATTTTTAAGTGTCAATTATCTCGATATACCGCCACAGGTGCATGTGGTCAGTGAAGCGCGGCTAATTAGTTGACGCTATTCCTGTTGTAAAGCATTCAAATGCAGACAAGGTACATGCAATTAAGTAATTAAACAAGTATTAAATAAACAATGATTTTAACATGAACTGTTATAATAATTTTGTTTTCTGTTTTATATAATCATTTAGCAATGGCTTCGCCACGAAAGCGCTCGTTGTTAAAGTATGCCGATAACGATATTATTTTGATGATCTCTGCTTTAAACAGTGCAAAGTTTGCTGGAAAAAATAATTATACGGTATAAATTGTGAACGTTCCATTAACAATGATACCATAAACAATGAATATATTCAAGAATTCAATTTACTTATTATCGGCAATATATCACGACGATCGACCCAGTATGTTTTTTTTTTCAATATCGAACGTGCAGATTTAAATTCATATAAAAATATTTGTCTTTATTTCATCACTGTTTATAACTGCACATTTTGTTTTAGCGAAATTGTACATTAAAAAAATTAATTACTTGAAGTATTTTCAATCAGAAATATGTTTTTATATACAAGAACGATAACTCTACTTGTTGTTTCCTAAAAGATGGGAAATTCAATTCATCGCCAAATTCGTTATACCGCCATGATTTCTAAATAACAAAAGGTGGCGGTTTATCGAGAATTAACTGTATCTTTATTTCATGTTTAATAATGTGTCAGTAAGTTTAAAATTATTAAATTTTGATATCTCTTTCCATACACCACTAGTAATGTCTTGTATATTTTAGAGCTTTTAAGTTAATCCAATATTCTTAGAAAATCTCTTGGTTAAATATGCTCATCTACTAAGATATTTGCATGACCTATTTACAGAGAAGGGATCTTGTGACCAGTGCACTGGAGGCTACTACTGCGTAATGAACACCAGTGACCCCAACTCCTTCCCCTGCCCTGTGGGTCATTATTGTCCCCCAGGGACTCAGTATGACACCCAGTACAAGTGTCCTGCCGGTACCTACAATCCCCTCCCCACCCAGACCAGCTCCTCAGCCTGTAAGCTGTGTGACGCGGGTACTTATTGCTTTGGGGATGGATTGAGTGCCCCCACAGGGAACTGTAGTCAGGGATGGTTCTGTACAGGAGGAGCCTCAGAGACCAAACCACTACTGCTAGGTAACTTGGATTGTTCTGATAAGATATTTAATGTCTGTTACAATACAGTAGTAAATATGTTGTGTTTAAATTGAATTTTTAGGTGGTAAATGTTCTGTTCTATGCAGTATTACTGACCTTATTAAAAGTATCATGTTTCTAATCATTTGATATATTTTTCAGGAAACTACACCAATATAGACGTGTGTACCTGTCCAGCCAATAACTACACGGGGGGTAAATGTCAACCTGGGTCCTTCTGTCCTGGGGGATCTTCTGCCCCAACATTGTGTACAGCTGGAATGTACTGTGATGACTATGAATTGGCTACTCCTAAAGGTAAATATGTCCTCTCTAATATACTAGTAATTATGTTGGAATTTTGAATTTTTCACTATAATTTTATTAGGAAAATATTTAACTGTAAAGGTCTAAGTACACTTTATAGATAATGAAAAGAATATGTTTGATAAGATCAAATGGAAGATATTGACCTGAAATGGAAGCTGTGTATTATGTGGATAATTTATGCTGTTTCTATAAATTGTATTGGTAGTAAAAAAATTTCTGGTCTTGGAGTTATAGAAACCCTTGATTGAAGAAAAACTTGTCTTTGAACAGGAAATTGTCAAGCTGGGTACTACTGTCCGATTGGTCAAACTGAAGCTAACCCCGCCTCCTTTATCTGTATTGCTGGTCATTACTGTGAGGAAGGATCAGGCACCCCCACTCATTGTCCAATCGGAACCTTCTCCAACGCCACCGGGAACAGCAACGTCACGGACTGCAAACCGTGTACTGCTGGTAAACAATTACAAAAATACAGTCACATTGTATATACACCTTTATGGTGATGTTTTGTTAGCAAAATTTGACATGAGTTACAATTTTGTTATGCTTTATAGGATATTACTGTGATGGGCTTGGTTTGGTGGCTGAAACAGGACCATGTACTGCAGGATATTATTGCCCTGAGGGCCAAACTACTGGGGCACCAACAGCCTATATATGTCCTACAGGATCATATTGCCCCACAGGAAGTGCTCTACCAACCATATGTCCAAGAGGTAAGCAGAATATTAAAATTTTAACTTAAAATCTTTTAAGCATCACATACACAAAAAAAATATAATTAAAATGCATATGTAAATGCAAGCAAAGTTTTGTTCTTTTTAATTATATTTCCCTCTGGAATTTTATCTCATTGTTTTTGACTGATTTTAAGATGTACTTTTAGATGTGTATTGTATGATTTTAGGTAAATACAACTATCAGACCACCCAGGCCACCTGTCTGGACTGCCCGGCGGGGAAATACTGTGACCCTCATGAGAATGGCAATGTGACAGGAATTGTGATCCCGTCAAGCTGCCCCGCGGGTTATTACTGCCTGCTGGGTACAGGGTACAACATGACCTACCCCTGTCCTACGGGAACCTACAGTCCAATCACAGACCTCACTGCTGCCAGTAAGTCCTCACTTGTAGAACTGTCCCTATATCAGTTATATGGTTTCATTTCTTATTATTTATTATATATTTTCCCCTTGAAAAATATAGAGAGACACAATATTTTTATTGAAAATGAATTTAGGTAAAAATGAAATTACTTTTCAAGAATTATATAAGAAATAAAAAAAATTCCTTTGGATTTAATATTGGCATGTTTTCCAATTTTACAGGTGGCTGTCCGTCCTGTGACCCCGGTAAATACTGCCAGACCCCTGGTCTGACTGCCCCCGAGGGAGACTGTGCCAGTGGTCACTGGTGCATGAATGGGGCCAACACATCTATCCCAACGGACGGGACGACTGGTGATGTGTGTCCACAGGGAAGTTACTGTCCAGCTGGCAGCTTCAGAGGTCAGTAAATGAGGACTTAAAATGAACAAGAAACAATTTGGAGAACATCGTGTTTTCTTCATATACCTGCATTGTAATTTTTCCAGAGTATGCTTCTATTGCATTTTTAAAACTTTTGAAGAATTAATTGATTCCTCTTTCAATGGTTGAATTACTTTTTCATACTAACAGGAACCTACTGTCCACAAGGCACATTTGGCAACACAACAGGACTGAGAACGGCCAATGAATGTATCGCCTGTGAGCCCGGCTATTACTGCCCCTCCCAGGGACATACACAACCTTACGACCAGTGTAGTGCTGGTTACTACTGCTCTGGGGGATCTATTGAGGCCAGCCCTGTGGGTCAGGCCTATGGATACATCTGTCCTGTTGGACACTACTGCCCACGGGGAACTCCGGTCTTGGTACCTTGTCCCAAAGGAACCTATCAGCCAGGCACAGGTAAGTTACTCTCAATGTTCCAATGCAAGATTATAAGAATTCTAAAGCTTTCAAATGTTATGCACTAAATATAAAAGCCTTTTTTAAAAATTATGATCAGATCATTGAAATCGATCCGGACATTTTGAGAATCTGTTATATTTATAGGAAAGTCCCAGCTGTCACATTGTGTGGACTGCTCACCCGGTCGTTACTGTCTGGAAGCTGGTAATGACACGACAACTGGGGATTGTCAGGCAGGGTACTACTGCACTGGTAAAGCGGAGGTTCCCAACCCTACAGGTAAATATTGCAAGAAAGATAAAAACAGTTAAAAACAGCACCTGACTTTCATAATCTAATCTATTGTTAGACATTCACCTTTTCAGTACCTTATTGTTTTAATTCATTTCTCCATAACAGATGGAACAACAGGAGATATTTGCCCTATTGGTAATTACTGCCCCACTGGTTCATCATCTCCCCGGCAATGCAGTTCCACCACCTACATGAACCACACCGGTGCAGCCGTCTGTTACACCTGTCCTGAGGGGTACATGTGTACCTCGGGCAGCACTGCTGACCCCTGCCCCCAGGGATACTACTGTCCTATAGGGACTGGTACAGACAAGAAACCATGTCCTGTGGGTGAGTGCTGTTTCACGGGTCATTTGAAACAAAATCTTGCTCCAAAAAAGTTTTGAACATGAAAATGATATAAGTATATCTTAGGCTTTATGGAAAAAACTGTTTTATTCAGTACATATTTAGGAAAAAAAACCTTTTAATATAAGACATTTTTGGAACTTCTGTATAAATTTCAAAGATAAAACTACTCTGTCTTTCTAGGAACATTTGGAGCGACAGACAGACTGAGTAACGAGACAGAGTGTACAGCCTGTACAGGAGGACATTACTGTGACTCTCAGGCCCTGACCCTGCCAGCTGGAGGATGTAGCGCCGGCTACTACTGTGTCTCAGGTAAATACATGTAATTGAAAAGAAGTTCCAGATCACACAGGAAGTCTCAATATATAAACTGCAATGTGTAACAATGTGAATTTCAGTGTACTTCAGTATGTATGGTACATCTGATCATTATATTGTGACAGAAGCACAAGGACATATTATTATGTCATTGAGGAACATAGTGCTAACTGAGTTTTGATTTATAGGTGTGAACATTGCCTCCCCTGCTGTGGCTGGGACCTTCCTTGGTGATGGAGGGGTGTGCCCCCCAGGAACAGAGTGCCCTGTCAACTCCAGCTATCCTACACCCTGTGCCCCGGGGAAATATGCTCCAATGGGAACGACTGCAGCGTGTAGTGATTGCCCAGCTGGTATGGCTATCAGGAAGATTTCTTGTCTTAGTTTTACAATTTTAGTTTGAATTTTTCTCTCTTACTCTGTGTATTTGTTTATGCGAAGGAAGTAGATTCACATAAAGAAGGAATGTATACCACCTGATTTACCTTTACATAATTTCAAGCTATTTGTTGATAAAATGACCACAACTATATATATTTTAGGTTACTACTGTGTAAATGCCACTGTGACCCCCACTACTTGTCCAGTAGGACACTACTGTCCTAAGAACACAGAGTTTGATCACCACTACCCATGTCCTCCAGGAACTTATTACAACCAGACTGGTAAGGATCATATTATTTACCACAATTAATGGATTTGATTTCGCTGTTAAGTTTGTGTTTTCAGGACAGATTGATAGTGTTTGGAATATGTAAGTGTAATGTCTTAGATAGATTTAAAACTGTATCCACAAGGAAAAAGACATCCTGTTGTTTTATAAAGGTGATATTTGTAGATTCTTATCTCAAACTTTGACATACCCCTAGCTTATCACTGTAAATGATTCTATAAATAGGAGCCTTGGCAGCAACTGACTGTATGGACTGCCCCCCTGGCCAGTACTGTGAGGGGACAGGCAATGTTTACCCCACAGGCTTTTGTGACGAGGGATTCTGGTGTGGAGGCAAGTCCTTCCAGAGACGACCGTATGACACAGGAAACCTCACAGTTATCAACGGCACTACCAAGTACGCAAACATTTACTGCTGTTTCACACCTGTACTTTAAAAAGGATGGTCATCTTAATATTTACATCATAATTTTTTCAAAGGAACATTACGCAGATGAATGGCTATTGTTTTTGTACTTCTTAACATATGAACTGGTACTTGTCAGTAATCATTGCAATACTTCTTGGACTATCTTGTAAGATTAAGCAGTGATAGAAAATTGATTTTATCGTGTTACAACCTGCCATGTGTAATTTCAGTGACTTGTATTCCAATGACACCTGTGCCCCTCTGTGGGGATGTGTTTGTCCAGCATTCCAAATGACCAGCGGGGGAATCTGTCCCATGGGATACTTCTGTCCAGTTGGGTCATCTCAACCCTCAGCCTGTACCCCGGGCATGTACTGTGAGACACCTGGACTGCCCCTCCCTACAGGTGTGTTCATAGAATTCAGGTTATAAACACCTGCATAATCAATATTTATGTACATAAGAATAATTCGAAAATAAAACTTACAATTATTAATTTAATGTAAAATAAATTGATCAGTTTATGCAAATTCAGTTAAAATTAGTACTTTAAGCCCAGGAAAAGTACATTTGCAGTCTTATACAAATCAAACTGTATGTTAATGCTTTTGTTACCACATACATTTGTACTTCCAATAGGAAACTGCAGTGCAGGCTGGTACTGCAATCACACAAGTTCCACCAAATATCAACATGTCTGTCCGGCTGGATCGTACTGCCCATCAGGATCAGATATCCCCACTCCTTGTCCAGCTGGAACATACTCCGGTCTGGATAACAACGGAGCCCTCAGTGATTGTGTCAACTGTACAGCGGGCCAGTACTGTCATGGTAAGATCTTAGATATACAGTGTTAATTGTATCATGCTGGCCATCGTTTTAAAATGTTATTCTGTCTTGTTTAACTGGTGATAATATCCGATCTTCACATATCCGATTGATAACCAAAGCGTATAAATGGGGTCCACTGTAGCTAATTAACTATTCCATGTTTGTGAAGTATAGTTTTCATTTTACAAGTTTGAAAGCCAGCTTATTTGAAAATTCAGTAAAAATGTTTGATATGATTTTATTATTGAGGTTAGGAACTAATACTAGTTGGGAAAAAAAAATATTTTATTTTATTCTGGATTTTTGTCCTCAGGTCTTGGAAACACAGCTCCTACTGCTCAATGTTCATCAGGATACTACTGCCCTGGGGGCCAGGAGACCAGCACACCCTCAGGACTGGAGTGCTTTGCAGGCCATTATTGTCCCCAGGGCTCGAATTACCCCATCATGTGTGCCAATGGAACCTATCAACCAAGTCCAGGACAAGACAGCTGTCTCACCTGCCCAGCTGGATATTTCTGTGATGCTGCAACAGGTAACTACAATAACATTGATATAGAGTTTACAGTTATTCCATGGAAACAGTGAATGTATTTATCATTGAAAACTTTTGATGGATGTGACTAATTCATTATTATTATTTACAGGAAATGTGACATACGTGAATGGTAAATTGGAACACTTGCATGTTTTTATAATACATTCTCCTCAATTATTCCATCTCTCACTAGCATGTTTTTGATGCTATGTCATCTAAGATTACCTAAGTGATTTTAACCTTTCAGAGTGTTGTAACATTGAAACCTAACATAATATACTAATTAAGTGTAAAAATACCTGAAAAAAGTAAATAACTTATTGCTTCGTACTAATCTAATGCATGTCCAAATATATTCTTGTAAATGATATCTGCTCTGATTCAATGTGCACAGTGGTTCCAGATATCTTGACAGCACTCTTACCATATCCTCAACTTCCTCCATCAATAATACCTATCATATTCTTTTAATTTTTCTTATTTATCATAGTATTTCTTTTTTCAAAAAAAAGAGAGAAAGATCCTAGTTATATTATCACACTTGTAATTCATTTCTTTTTTAGGAAATCCTGTGGTGAACCCCACAGCTTGCCCCACAGGATATTACTGCCCTGAGGGTACAATTTCTGGCCAGTCCTATCCCTGCCCTATAGGAACGTTTGGTCCCAACCAGTACCTGTTTGCCCAGGAGAACTGTACATCTTGTACAGCAGGCTACTACTGTGAACAGGCAGGGTTGTCTGCCCCTACTGGAGAGTGCTATGGAGGCTTCTACTGCACAGGTGGCGCTGAAGTTGCTGAACCTGTGCTTCACAATGTGAGTTTTATTTTCTTCTAGATCTGAACCCTACTTGATTCAGAGTCAAAATACCTATAAATCTGCAATGTTGATTGTAATTATAGAAAATTTAATATTTTATACTTCTTTATAGAGTGAAACTGATTTTTTTTCTTTTTTGGAGGAAGATTCATTGCATTGCTATGTTGATACTTCTGTTTAGGTCAATCTGACCCATAATGTAACCTTCACTGGAAACGACAGATGTCCAACAGGATATTTCTGTCCCAATGGTACCAGCTACCCCCAGCCATGCCCCATAGGGACCTTTTCTGAGGTGAGAGAAGTGTCCCTGGAGAGTGACTGTCAGCCGTGTAGACCAGGGAGATACTGTAATCAACAGGCCTTCACCATGATAACCACGGCCCCCAACTGCTCAGCTGGGTATGTACACTGTATTTCAGGGTCTTGTTTTGATCAAGAAAAGCATTATGGAATGAAATAGAATAATTTTCAATTTATATTTGTAATACAGATTGTTAGCTTCAAAAAAAAAATTATTCAATTTTGAAACATTTCAAGATATGGAGCTTTAACTTGATTTTGTACATCTATATAATTTTGGTATATTTCACACTTGGTTGAAGAAATTTGAAGAAACAAGTGATGAGCACTCATGAGGTTTAAAATCAAAATGATTTGAGTTTGATTTTTGGTTGCATCAACTTGAAATTCCACAATGAACAATTTTATTTGGGTTTTTCTTGAAGATACGTGTGCACAGGGGGTGCCAGTAATCCTATCCCCAATGCAACACATGGCTACATGTGCCCCACCGGTCATTTCTGTGTGGAAGGCACCACACAGGAGGAGGGCTGTCCCCTGGGGACATACCAGTCCAACATGGGTCAGGACCATTGTCTCAACTGTCCTGCCGGCAAAATGTGCACCGAGATGAACTTAACCCTGCCACTGGATTGTAGAACAGGTACGTCTGTCAAGGTCATCTCAGAAATGAGAACATTTTATAGTATCTGTATTAAATTTATTGATCAATAATATGGTTAAATGATGTACAGCCTACTCCGGATATATTGAAATTCAGGGGGCCATGCAAATTATTTCATTATATCCATAATTCAATATAAGCGAAATCGTGAAGCCGCCATTTTTACAAGTTCAATCCCGATCTTAAATAAAGAAGAACAAACCCGAACAAATTAATTTGTCATCGTTTATCTATAACAGTGAACAGATTACATAGAATATGAGTCCTTGAAGGTTTAAATATTTTTTTTTATTTCTGTTTCATTGAAAAGACAATCTTCACCCCTCATTATTATTCCCCGATCGCATTTATTTACGTTTTGGGGAAAATTCACCGGACTTAAACGGTTGAGTACTGCTGAACGCTGCTTGTATTTCATTGTAAGTGTACTCGGGTTAATACCTTAGTTATTTCGAATTTAGGCATATCAATAGCCATTAACAGTATGTATTTAATTTCAAAGGTATGTTTTTTTCCTAGATCTGTGGGGGTTACTATATTACGTTTAGCAGTTTAGTCTCGATATGTCCGTATTATATACGTGGACGCAAAGAATTTAAAAGTGAGGAATTTTTTTTTTTCGTAAGAGCATGCAGTATAAAAACACATAAGGTAGAAACTTAATTATTCACACCTTTGTATATCAACTGGTCAATCAGGCATAATTTCTGTCACCAACCGTAACGACAGCCGCCAGGGAGTACTTCAATTTAACCGTTATGAAAACAACAATTAACTCATTATTTCACATCTGTTATTTTAATGCAAAGAATGTGAGAGACAAAAACTGGGGATTTATATAAACAAAACAAGTCAATTTCAAGCTTTTATTCTTTATACTCAGCTATAGGAAATTTAACAAATTGCAACATCAAGAAACACACGATACACATAACATCAATATAAACAAAGATAAAATACTTATATGTACATGTATTTTATGTTGATAGCAAAGAAATTGTGAGTAGAATGGCCTTAAACCGATGGCCTGGTACGATGACCTTCATGTGTGAGGCCGATGGCCTCGTATAGTTTGGCCGATGGCCTTGATTTCCGAAAATGGCCGATGGCCTTGACCATGGCCGATGGCCTGTATTTCCGATGGCCTTGTGGTAAATGGCCTATATGCGTGTGTGTCTAGGCCGATGGCCTTGCATATGTATAAAGTTCTACTGAGAAAATAACACATGTTCATGTGTTAAATGCCCAAACGAAGGTATTACAAATATTGTGCTGTTGAACGAATGATGGCGCTAAACTGTAGGCCTATCTGATTGGTTATCTAAGTCACGTGATGTAAATATGATACTCTGGGTAATTACTATTTATATAAACAATATTTAATTACATTAAAATCATTTTATTTCTATTTCAAAATAACCGGAATTTCAAAATAAGCGAGTTCAATATAAGTGGAGTAAGCTGTATATACTTTTGTCCATTATTGGCTTTCTCACTATCAGTTTTAAGAGTACTAGTATAACATTTAAAAAAAAGTTATCCACTGAATGAGTAACCATACAATTAACATTTAAGGGTTCTTCTGTACATCTTCATCATTTTATCATGTGTTTTTTATGAAGGCTATTACTGTTTGGCCGCCCAGGACCCCATACCTTGTCCTAACGGTACCTATAACAACGCCACAGGAATGGATGACCTCACAGACTGTGTGGACTGTCCAGTAGGAAAATACTGTGAAGGAATCGGGAACAGTGTCCCTGATGGTCAGTTATAAACACATTCCATATCTTAAATTTATAAATTCTGGGGAACATGTATATTGTATAGGAATATGCAAATTATATTGTGAGGCATAACTTCTGAAACAAACACTGAACATGGTATACTTCCTGTACACTGTTACTGCTTATTATTAAATTTCTAGATACAATAAAAGACACCTATAGCAAACACACTTATTATAAATTGATAAATTTTACTGAGACAAATGTCACTTAGATGTTGTGATAACAATTACTGGTTAACAGTATTATTAATGCCTTTATTTACACACAACAGGTGACTGTGATGCTGGATATTTCTGTGAGGGTGGAGCCATCAGCCGTGCCCCCTCCCCCTCACTGACCTACCCCAACAATGGACCATGTGACCCAGGGAGATACTGTGTGTCAGGGACCAGCAGTCAAGTAGAGTGTCCTGCCGGTACCTTCAGAAACAACTCAGGTAAGCAAAGAAAAAGTTTATAGCAACTAAAAGGGCAAAGTCATATTTTATGCAGATACTACAAGATTTGAATCAATTTGCATAGATACATAATATGTAATTATGTGATTTTTTTCTAAGAATAAATGATTTAGATATTTTTTTGCCATTATAAAAATAAAAAATTAAACTCAAGTTCTTTAAGCCATCACCATATTTTGTTCCAATATTGAGTATGTATGTACTGAGCCATTAATATAAAAGTTTTGCCTTCTTTGTATTAGGAGCTGCATCATTATCAGATTGTCTCCCCTGCACTGGTGGTTACTACTGTGCAGGCACTGGACTGACCTCACCCACCGGCCTGTGTTCTGCCGGCTACTACTGTCCAGACAAAGAAAACAGTTCTTCTGCCACACCCACTGGCTTCCAGTGCCCAGCAAACTACATGTGTCCAGAGGGAACCGCTGACCCCATAGCCTGTCCATCCGGGGAGTACCAGGCCAATCCTGGGAAATCCACGTGTGACAAGTGTCCAGCTGGCTATTTCTGTAACACAACTGGAAATGTGCCAATCAAATATGACTGTCCACCATTCCATTATTGTCCAGAAGGTGAGAAATAGAAACTTTGTAATTTTTGTTCATTGCTTTTTAATCATGCTTGATTCTGTCAGGGATATATGGATTAGAAGTATGCTTTGACAAATTGCAAACAAAAAGAGATGAGAGTTCTATAGCAGGAACATATCAAGCCTTGTATAAAATGGAAATCTCTATATTATAGGAACCTGGAATCCAACAAACTGTCCTGATGGAACATTTACCTTCTCCAATATGACTAATCTGGAATCTGCTGCTGAGTGCTTGCCCTGTCTACCTGGAAATTACTGCAGGTTTGGCTCTATTAACTAGAATATGGTTAGAGTTGTAAATGTGCAAACAAATTTTGGTTTTATGTTAAATATTTGTTGTTTTTATTTGCAGAGGAGGACAAATTTCCAGTGAGTGTTTAGCTGGTTACTGGTGTAAATCTGGATCAAGCAATAACCTTGTCAACAGAACCATGGAATTCCAAAACTGCTCAGCCAATCAGGACTGTTCTGGCCTGTGTCCCAGAGGTTACTATTGTCCCCAGGGTATAGATCTACCTGTCCCGTGCCCCGAGCATACCTTCAGAGGTACAGAAGGAGCTGAGACTGCCGCTCAATGTGACCCTTGTCCTGCTGGCTTCTACTGCCCATCAGGTAAAGAGTTCGAGTGATTCTGGAAATACTCATATTTATTTTAAGATAATGCACCATATGACATTGAGCTAATATAATTCAATTAATGCAGGAATTCATTTTCATTAATGGTGTTGTGTACTTTAAAAAATATTTTCTTTGAATGAAATTATAAATAAGGGATTTCTTTATATGCATACATTAATGATCTTTCTTTCTTTATATTACAGCTGGTAAGTTGCATGCTTTCAGTTGAGATTTCTGTATATGTGATTTATGGCTTCTTTATATACAGATCCCCCCTGTAGCATCAGTTCCTTTCTGATATCCATATGAGTGTGTTCCCCATAGATAAACCTTACAGTGTATTATACATATATTTTTTTTACAGCTGCTTTATGTTGCATGTTTTATTAGATAAAATATTTTTGTTCAGTTTTCTTTTCGACTTAGTATGCATATAGAACACTTTTTTTTAAATTTTAGCAATCATAAACCCCAAATCAGAAAAATGTACAATGAACCTTAGACCCTTTTTTCCATATGCCAAGCACGCTTAAACACCCACCGTGATGTCTTTTAAGGAAATTGAAAATTTATAATTATGTAGTTGAGTTCCTTCACAAATTCCCTGCTTGCTTTTTTTTTTGGCTTGTCATACTATTTTATTTTTGTACATGAACTATACATCCAGTTCTCCTAAAGAATACGTTGCCCCAAAGTGAAAGATGCATTGATGCTTTCTCAACAAGTGACATTACTGTAATAAATTAAAGATTCCCTTACTACCCTTTCAATGACCATATTATATTGGAATTCCTTAAATCATTTATCAAATCTAAATATACTGGATGCAGAAACTAGGTTTTATATTTATTTTTATGAACGGAATGCTGCTTTAATTTGCTTTTTTTTTTTTTTTTTTTTTACCAAATTTGTACTGCATGCAGTCATCACAAGAACATCATTGTTCAATTTTTAAATTCTTTGTGCCAGCCACATGAATGTTGCTATAATATTGAAGTTTTACAGAGCAGCAATATTTATGATATTTGTGAATTTATGCTTGATTTGCCAAAATAAACAATCTAACATATAAAATAAAATTGATTGTTTTGCAGTGATGTCTTTTTTTTTTTTAAAAAATTGAAGTATATAATTTCTGCAATATAACAAAATGTTTATTCTTTATAATACTGAATATAAGTATTCTTTATAGTTTAGATTCCCGTGAGTCATGCAGGTTTTATGTGCAAGAATTTAATTTATAAGATAAAATAATTAATGTCTTGGAAAATGAGTCGCATGAAATGTGAACAATTTACAGCGTTTTGATTAACAGATCTATTTGTTTAAAAAAAAAAACAACAATTGTTTGAAAAATCATTAACTTCCCATACCGTAAGTTTTTTGTTTCCAGGAAGGGAAAATTACCATAAAATTTTGTTTTTATTCTCAGACAGTATTGTAAACAAGCACACATATGAATTTGTATTGAATACAATCTTATACGAGGAGTGTGTTATAAGGAGCAAAATTTGTGTTCTCCTATAAATCTATATGTGTAAGTTTAAAATTCCCTGGGATGTCTTAATATAAAACCATTATATGACCGTGTAAATTTTCTCTGTAGGCACTGCTGATCCTGACCCCTGTCCCATTGGTTATTACTGTGAGGAGGGAAATGGTACCACTGAATGTCCCAGACTGCAATTCAGAAACATCACAGGGGCAGCAACTGTGTCTGATTGCTTCCCCTGTGTGGCAGGGTTCTACTGTAATGAGACAGGTAAAGAGGAAAAAGAAAACACATTTTTTGACTTTCTTTTAGCAAGTTCTTATTTCTTTAACAAGTTAAAGATGGGATTAAACATTTGATTTGCAGGTTCAATCTTTATAAAGTTAAAAGTGTTTCAAGGTACATGTATTTGAGCTAGAATTTACCTGAGATGTTTAATTTTAGGTATGTCTGATTACTCTACCTATCCATGTCCACCTGGATTCTATTGTCTGGAGGGGTCGGAGCCCATACTCTGTCCTGCGGGTAGGATGAGAGATAGTGCAGGGGCTGAGAATTACACAGACTGTGAACTTTGTCGCGGTGGTTACTATTGCCCCAATGACACAATCAATACACAAGGCATCCCCTGTAGAGCTACTTATGAATGCCCCACGGGTGCTTCCATAGAAATTGACTGTCGCCCAGGACATTACTGCCCAGGTGTAACTGGTACCCCGCCCATCTGCCCACCAGGTTACTACTGTCCAAACGCAACCGAGACTCCCATTTTATGTGTGTACCCATTCTACTGCCCACAGGGAAGCAATATGACCTTGGCCTGTGACCTTGGATATCAAGCATTGACCCATGCTGGCATTAGATATGACAAAGCAATGTCATGTAGAATCTGTCCACCTGGCTATTATGGAAATTCTACTACCAGAGCCACCTGTGAGCTTTGTCCAGCTGGATTCTATTGTCCAGAAGGAACTGGTCATGGTAACACAAATGCCTGTCCAATTGGCACATACTGTCCTATAGGCTCAGATCATCCCACAAACTGCCCTGCTGGGTACCGAGGGGAGAAGCTTCGAGCTGAGAGTTTCTATGACTGTCATGGCTGCCCTGCCGGAACGTACAGTGATACAGAGGCTGCCACTCACTGTAAGCCTTGTGGAAGCTCCTCCTACTCCACAGGAAACAGCTCCATCTGTACCTGTCTAGGGAAGTACCGCTCCTTCCAGAAGTCTGTAGGATCCTGTGTGTGCCTGTCTGGCTATATCTACTATGATGAGACCGACACCCAGCAAACAGAGGAGAACTCTGATGAAGACTGTCAGCAGATCGTGGACACCAGATGTACAGAGTATGAAGTACGGCTCTCCTCCACCAGGCAGTGCGTCCTCAAGGAATTGGTCAATTGTAACGCAGGATGTGACCCATCCGGATATCTGGACGTGGAACTTGGAGTGTATGTATAGATAAGCCACACATTTATTTTTAATGTTTTGTCCTGTATTGCTAAGAGACAAACTTTAGGTTCATTCACTGTTTTTACAGGTGTCTGTGTAACAACTTGATAGCGGCTGACTCTGTCTGCGATGCCTCATGTCTGGCTGTAGCCCCAGCTGTAACAGCAGAGTTACAGAATGATGGAACACTACAAGTGACAATCACCAACTCAAGCGGCCATGTGGTGGAAGCAAAGGTGAATGTCACATTGATTATTTTTTTTGTTATAATTTTTTAAAAGGTGTGCTTGAACAGATTTTTTTTCTGGAAATTTTAGAACATTTATTTCACAAACAGTACATTTGATGATACTTTGTATTTTAGACAATGACGGACATATTTGGCCCACTGGAGAGTACCAATGGTGTGAAAGGGGTGATGGTGGTCAACTTTTATGATGACCGCATCACAGCATCAATCTTTAGAGATCAGAATGAGGCTAAGGATTTGTTCTGTAAGTATAAACAACTGTTACAATCATACTGTCAGACTGATTGTTTACATTTACTTAAAAGAATATGTAATTATCTTCACAATGTATTTTCTGCTGATGACAAATTCTCAAGTAGTACCACTGTAGAAATGGACACAAGTTAAGTTTTAGAGATCACAACATGGGCTTTGCTCATCAAATACAGTAAAATTCGTTTAGTATGAACACGGATATAGTTAATTCATGAATATAGCAAAGTTGTCTTGGATCCCCAGCTATATGAATTTAACGAATTCCTTATATGGATATAACAAATTACTGATATAGTGAAGTAATTTCATAGGTCCCAGTGACTTCGTTATAATCAAGTTTTACTGTACATATAATTGTTGCCTCTCATTTTGATTCAGTGACAGCTGAAGAGATGGCCAATGGAGTGACCAATGCTCCGGGGACACACATCGGTAGACGTCGTCTGCTGACCACCACTGTCCCCAATAACCAGATCTCAAACAGCATTCTGTGTCTGGAACTCAATGAAATGGTCATGTTTAAAGTCTGGATCAACGACACTGACCGCACCAAGAGCCACTACCCAGTCTATCTAAAGGACCATCTGTTCAGCAATAACCCTAACTTTGACTATGGACAGTTCCTGGCTCTGAAGAACTTGATAGAGACAACCAATGTTAATATCTCTACATTTGCCTTTGTCTTCACAGAAGCTGGAAATTATGTCTTCCAGGACTACTCCACCTCCACATCGTAAGTTGCTCTGTTGAACTTTGGGAACTCATATTACCTTGATACCATGTCAGAGTATGTCAGTATGAGTTGGGTTTCCCTATGTAATCCATTGTTGTGCTGATATCTTTTCTGTTTTTTCAGCCTGATCTACATTAAAGTGATGAATGCTGGCACCACCTGTGGTACTGGGTCCAGAGTCCAGGCAGCCACTGCCTCCAGTCTGGTGTCACTTGGATTCTATAAGGCAAACCCCAGCAATGTGGCACCGGACTGGGGACTTATAATTGGTAATACTATAACCTTTGTTGTTGGAATAATAGCTTTGTCCAAATTACGATAATATTCATAAATCACATTACTTATCACATTGTTTCATGCTGAGTGATTTTCTTTGACAGGTATGATCGCATTCTTTGGTGTTCTGGTCTTGTTACTTGTCATTGCTGTGTTGGTCTGGAGACCTGTAGAGGCTGGGTTATACCCCATGAAACACTGGAAACCCCAGTACCGCAGCCTGGGAGCCCCACCCCCTGTCACTTCCTATCTGAGATACAAGCCAGGGTCCTGGCCTGAACAATCCATGTAAGTACTGACACCCAATACCTGTCTTGGTCAATTTTCAGTGAAAAAGAGATCTGTTTATTATTGTTTTGTATGGGAGTTAAATTTAAAATGGAGGCTAGAATTTTAAACATTTGTAAATGAATTCTCTGTTTACTGTTAGCAGTGGCCTGGGAGAGAGAGTGACTGGTGATGGAGCAGAAGCAGATGTTCTGAACTCTATGGGTAAGACGTCGTATCATCCACCATTATAAAGATTAGCTCCTAAGATTCAATCCACCAGTAATGTAACTTGATTGTGTAATACTGATGTTCATGGTTTATGATCCTTTTAACAGCTGTCAAAGGAGTAGAGGATCTGGAGAACTTCAATGTGAGAGTTTTCTATGACAAACTGGAAGATCAGAACCTCCACCTGGCATCACAGATGGCCAAACAACAGGAAGACCTGAAATCCTTCTACAAGAAGATCTGTGACCAGAACGAGGAGCTCAAACAGCTGCTGAAGAACCTGGATCCCGCTAAACTGGAGGAACTAGAGAGGAAGGTGGCGGAGCGGGCCAGACAGGAGGAGGGCATGCAGAGAGGAGCAGGGGACGTCTTCAACATCATCAACGGAAAAACTAATATGAGAGATGGAAAATACAGATTTGCTGGTATGATTTCCTCCTGTTTATAATCTTAAGTTTGTCCTATTGTCCTAAGGCTTTGTTATAATCCTTGTGTTTGCTCTCCTCTAGGTGGAAACAACAGAGAGGCAGAGTTGATGACTGCCCTACAGCTCCTACTGAACAGACTGAATTCTGGAAACTTACCAATCAGTCAGAGTGTGTGGGAGGAGATACAGAAGGGAGGAGTAGTACCTGATGGAGGGTCTGTTACCAACATAAATAGACTGCCTGGAGGCAGGGGCAAACAGGTAAATTATGTCAGGTCAGAGTTCAACAACAGCTGGAATTATTTTATCCTTTAAAAGAGTATTAAAGTGTAAAGAGAATAAGGTTACAAATAATTATATAAGGGGTATATATTATTTTAATTTGGACAATAAATGAATTTGTATAGGGTGAAGTGCTCAGAAAACAGAGAGAGGAGAGAATGCAGCTGGAACGAGAATTACAGCAGGATGAGAATGACCAAATCTCAGACCTTGTGTCTCGTACCGAGGACCAGCGTAAAGACACCGTCAACATGATGACTAATGGGCTTGCTGGCAAGCTTGAGGGTGACCCCAAAGATGCACAGGTCAAGGACATTTTAGACAAATATGAGAAGGACCTTGATGCTAACATGAACAAGTTTAACATGGAGAAAGAGAAACAGTTACAAGATTTAAGAAGAAAGTTGGCTGAGAAGAGAAGGAGAAAGGAAGCTCAACTAAGAGAAAAACACAAGCAAGAGGTGATTTATTTCAAGAAAAAGTGAAACTTTAATGCCATATTGTAGACTGAGATTCCTTTAAAAAGACAATAGAAACTAAGTCGTTTTCTTTCCACTTGAGGAATTTTCTTATACAATGAATGATTTGAATCAATACAGTCAAAATTACACAAACTACTTAAATCAGGATTTGAAAAAAATTATAATGTGTATGTGTCCAAGTGTCATAAAAAGTAGTTACACATTTACTATGGTTTTGTAGGCTGAAGAAGCAGGTCTTCCTCCACCTCTTGAAGAAGATGACCACGTGGCCGACACAAAGATCCGACAGTCTGAGGCCCTGTATGACGCTCTGCTGGCAGAGGAGGCTGCTGGGGCCGCTAAAGGAGAGGGCGAGACCGACCACCAACTTAATGAGGACAAACGCAGACTGGAGTCAGAAAAACTCCAGGAACATCTTGTAAGATTCAATCATCTTATTCATTTAAAAATATAGGTGTTTTATTGTAGTGTTTCACAGAATAAAAGCTAAGAGATTCTCACACAATACATGTATATCTTGCACTATGTTTTTGTGGTGTGATTTTTTGACAACACTCTGTCTTTCTTTATCAGAATCAGCTGACTCAACAGGGCATCATTACAGCCCAACAGAAGGATGAACTTCTCAGGAAACACTTAGAAGCTGAGCAGAACCTGAAGAAGGTTCATGACCACCAGAGGGAGACACAGGTGTCTCACCTGAAAGACAAGCTGGCAGACAGACGCAAGAAGAAGTTGGCCAAGCTACGCAGGGAACAGGAACAAGAGCTGTCTGATGTAAGTGTTACAGGCTGATCAGATTGATAACGTTAGATAACTGTATACAATAAATATGTGAGTATATTCTGAATTTTATAAAATCTGCATAATGCTTTAATGGTCACTTCTAAAAAGATGTTTTATGCAATTATGACTAAAGTATTGATTTTCTTTTCCTTTTAGCTGTCTTCTAAACTTATCCAAGATGGAAATACTGAAGATTTAGAACAAGAATTGGAACAACTGAAGAATCTTCATAAACAGCAAATGGAGGCCGCTGAAGCAGAACTCGATGCTGAGGAGAAGGAACACGAACGACGCATCATAAAGAAGGTGGATGATGAACATAATGAGGCTTCAAAGAAGAAACGCAATGAAATATTCAAACAGGTCAGGGTTTTAATCAAACATTTTTTTAAAAGGTTGCAATCTGTTTTACAGGTCATTTTCAGAGAATGTATATGTGGAATAAATCATACAAACTGCTGTGTAAGTGGGATCTATAATTAACTCATCTTTTGCAGATTGCTGACCAGTGCCCAGAGAAGCAGCAGACAGCTATGCAGCGTCTCCTTGACAACTATCACCATGACACCGAGACTCTGGAACAAGAGTTAGCAGTACAGAGAAGTCGTCACATGGCCGACCTTCAGGTAAATTTTCTTTATCAACAAAATAATGCAATAAAAAGCATACACTTTAAAACAAGTTAATTTACTTCTACTTGACCTCAGTTTATATGAAATAAAAACTCAATAAACCTCGTCTTAATTTGATCAGGCCAAGCTTGCTGCCAGAAGAGCCCGTAAATTAGCGGAGTCTCAGAGGAAACTGGATGGGGAGGAGCAGCAGAGGTTGATTTCAGAACAGAATCGTCAGATGCAGCAAGGAGGGGGCGTGGAGGAAGAAGACACAGACCTAGCCCATGTCCCTAAAGTCCAGTACAGTCAGTCCACTGAAGAGCTGGCTCTTCAGAAGGAACAGGTACTAACAAGTCAGGACTATAATATGGAAATACTGGGGAATCATTTGTATTTGTGGGGGACAATGTTTGCGGGCAATCAAAATTTAGATACATGTAGCTCCTGTGAACAATTTCAGGGAGAACTTGTATATACTGAATATTTGATGAAACTTTACATTGAGGAACAATTTATCTTATATTCGTAAAGCCCTTTGTCTCCTTTTATTAATTTTTATTGTCATCAATAAGTTGTCTAGGATTTTATCTTGTATAGTAGAATGAATTTGATTGTTCAACAAATTTTTATCAGTTTTGCATTGAAAAATTGTCATAATTGCAGAAAAATATTGGATTTAAGGTCAATGTCTTCCAAGCTGAACTCCGTCTCTTATTCTCTGTGATTGTGAATTATGGCTGATGTGGCTTAAAAGTATTAATTAAATACATTTGATATTACAGGAGAGGATCAGAGAAGAAATGAAGAAGAGACAGAAACAGGAGAGAGATAAGGTGGTAGAAAGGTTGGATGCTGAGGAAGAGAAAGAAGAGAGGTCACTGGCCAAGGAGCTGGACTCCCAGAAGGAGAAGTTACTGAGGGAGAAGAGAAACCGACAGGCTACCGAGCTGTCCTCACGTAAAGACCTGACTGAGGATCAAATGAAAGAGGTCAGTGTCTGTTTATCTAGAGCAAAGTCAGGTACAATAGAGAGCATACATATGAAGTACTGTATGGTATAATGGTTCAATATTTCAACCACCATTTCATTTCGAACAAAGCGAAGCAATCTGTATGGATCTTTCCATCCTTTTGTCCTTCTATCACTGCATTTAGCTCAGTTTCAAAGAAATTTTCAAAGCATTTCTTACCAACCTTCATTTACTGATACATATTGATGAAAGCATTCAAAGGCAGTCATTTCAAGAGGTATCAAAGCCATATATGTTTATCAGGAAAAGTACCAGGTAGTTGAAATTACACTGTTTACCCTATTAATGACAAGTTGAAGTATTGTTTTTCATCGTAATAAATATCTCATTTCCAGCTTATGGCCTCGCATGAGCAAGAACTTCAAGATCTAGCAGAGAAATTAGAGAATGAGAGACACAGACAATTCCTGAGTTTGAAGGAGAAGCTCAATGCTAAACGTAATAGAAAGATGGATGAAGTACGCAGAAAACAAGATGTGGAGACCACTAAAGAGATGCTTGAACAGAAGAAAGAAGTCGACGAAATCAAATTAAAGAAGGTAAGTCTATAGGACCTTCAGTGCTCAGTTGTGGTTGTGGAGTGATGATTTTACAGTTAAATTCAATTTGATGTTGTGACACAGTTTGTACACAATGTTTTCACGATTTTTCAGGCTAAAGGTGTTGAACATGAAGCCATTGTGGAGGGAATAAAACAGAACGGTGAGGAAGATACAGATAAAGTGGTCAGGGCTGTTCTGGCAAAGAGACACGCTCAGGTAGGTTATCTGTATAGTTCAAGACTGAAGTAAAGTAAGACCAGTAGATAGCTATGAAATAGGAATCTACAGAGTAAATACATGATAAACAACTTCATTTACACAACAGGAAATGCAGGATCTTGAGAACCAGTTTAAGAGTAAGAGGAAACTGGTGGTGGACGACGCTCTCAGTAAGCTGCACGAGAAGTACGACAAACTGCGGGACAGTCTGTCCAAACAGCACCAGGAAGAGTTAGCTGCCCTTCAGGTAAGGGAGGAAAGGGGAATAAGAACATAACCAAACTCAATGGATCCAGAATTTAGACTGAATTCTAAATATGTTTAACTGATAAAATTTTTAAAGCAAAAGATTTGCAAAACAATAAACTGAATAAAATGTTTGTGTGTTGTAGAAGAAGGGATTGAGTCCTGAGGAGTATCAGCACCAGAGAACACAGCTCCTGAACAGACAGCAGCTGGAGATGGCAGAGCTGGAGAGGAAACTGTCTGAGGAGGAACACGAGATAGAGAAGGGGGCACTAACAGACTGGGAAGTCCAGTACGCCAGGGCCAAACTGGAGCTCAAGGAAAAACACTACAAGGTAGGGTCACCCAAAATAGATAGAGATAGAGGGGGGGCACTGACAGACTGGGAGGTCCAGTATGCCAGGGCCAAACTGGAGCTCAAGGAAAAACACTACAAGGTAGGGTCACCCAAAATAGATAGAGATAGAGAGGGGGGTGCTGACGGACTGGGAGGTCCAATACGCCAGGGCCAAACTGGAGCTCAAGGAAAAACACTACAAGGTAGGGTCACCCAAAATAGATAGAGATAGAGAGGGGGGTGCTGACGAACCCAACGCCAGGGCCAAACTGGAGCTCAAGGAAAAACACTACAAGGTAGGGTCACCCAAAATAGATAGACATAGAGAGGGGGGCACTGACAGACTGGGAGGTCCAGTACGCAAGGGCCAAACTGGAGCTCAAGGAAAAACACTACAAGGTAGGGTCACCCAAAATAGATAGAGATAGAGAGGGGGGTGCTGACGAACTGGGAGGTCCAGTACGCCAGGGCCAAACTGGAGCTCAAGGAAAAACACTACAAGGTAGGGTCACCCAAAATAGATAGACATAGAGAGGGGGGCACTGACAGACTGGGAGGTCCAGTACGCCAGGGCCAAACTGGAGCTCAAGAAACACTACATGGTAGGGATGCCAAAAACTGGGGGAGGGGAGGGAGAGTTATTGATCTTATAAATAATGCAAGTAGGTAAGAAAGAGTTTTGGTAGTGAGAGTACAAGTGTATAATTAAATCTTGTCTGCATTCATCTGCTTTGAAAAGACATATTGAGATAAGCATTATTCATTACAAGAGGCCCAAGTCAGGGCAAGTCCTTCGAGTTGCTCAACATTTTATAAAAATACATATATGATATTTAATTGTATGACAGGAATTTGCTGAGGCACTGAAGGAATTTTCACCAGAACATGATGGCATTAAGGAAGCTCAGCATAATGTGGAGGAACTGGAGAAACTCAAACATGAACTGGAACAAGAACGCAAAAACCAGTTAGAGCAGGCCAAGAAAGAACAACAAGGTACAGATGACTTTTTATACATGTTCATATCCTTTTATGCTCTGTCTTATTATGAAAAGTATCGAGTAGGAATGGTCGTTGAATAAAGAATTGCTACTCAGTTAACCACATGGCATACCAACTGATTAACCTAGTTTCAAATTCTTTTAATTTTCATAGTCCCATTTTTCAAGAAAAATTTTGTAACACATTTGAGTGTCTTGCAGACTTTGAAAAGAATGAGAAAAAGCGTTTAGAGGAAGAAATGGAAGAATATGCAAAACAACTAGAAAAGGACACCATTCGTGAAAAAGAACAGCAAGACCGCAAGATTGAACAGCTTAATAAACGCAAAGAAGACATGGTCAAGGAAAAGAAACAGAAAATGAATGTAAGTGAAGCTTAATAGATTATCTCCAACCCCTTCAAAAAAAGTGATGAAAATTGTATTTTGAATAAAAGAAAATTATTAAAAAAAACAACTTAAGTTTTTGTAGATTTTGAGAGCAAAAATAATATGTTTCTGATGTTTTTTCCAGGAGGAACTTGAGAAGATCAGACAACAAGGAGGCAGTGAGGATGAACAGAAACGCTTGATTGAACAACATGAGCGTGACTTACAGAATATACTTAATAAGATGGATGCTGACAAGATGAGAATGCAGAGTAATCTACAAGAGAGGCTGAAAAAGAAGAAGGAAGAAAGACTGAAAAATAAACAGGAGGAGCTGAAAGAAAACTTCAAAGACCACAAACGAGAAATGGAACAGAAACAGAAGAGTGAAGCCAACAGAATCAAGAAGAATGAGGTATGCACCTAGTGATTAGAACAGTACCACAATAAGTTTGTTCATTCTGTACACAGACAGATAATTACAGAAAATATTTTTGATGAGAGATGAATATTCAATATTCAGAAGATGTATTAACCTGTTTTTTACTTTTCAGGCATTGACCATCCAAGAGAGCATCAGTTCAGGCTATGTCCCCCAGCGTACCTCCTCACCACCCCCAAAACAAGACTACCACTCTGACACAGAGGAGCCTGAGACCACAGCACCAGCCCAGGAGCCCATGCCAACCTCCTACCAGATGGCAGCACCTCTCAATGAGGCAGAACTCATGGCCCTCCTCATGGCATCACCAGTATACCAGAAACTGGAACAAATCAAGGATTCTGTCAAAAACGGAATCACACCACCCAAACATAGAATGGATCCTGGTAAGTCTCTGTTCTATTGAACTGAAATAATGAGTCCTTTTATGCACTATTATTTTTTGGTATATCTGATGTTGTATGCAATTTCTATGCAAAACTTCTTGCACTAGGTGTTTTATGAATTAATTTAAACATGACTTATGATTGAAGGTGAAGGGTATCAAGATACCAGAGATGCTGAATGGTCAAAGGACACAGAACTGGTCCCTGTGGACATTGGGTCTCTGAATGCCCGCTCCTTCATTGTTTACAAGTTTGGCTGCTTTGTCACTGACCTCGTATCATCCAGGTGTCATCACGCCCCAGTAACCATCCTTCTGGCTGACAAGATCCCCTCCAACAAGAACCTGGCCAGGAATGCCTTTAGGAATTCCTTCCATTATGATGCCAACAACAGGATTCTCTATATTAGAGTAGCCCGGCTAGACACAGTGGGGGATTTCATTGTGGTGCTCATACATTCCCTTGCTCACATCAAAGCAGGTAGGAAGCAGCTCCTTATGTGTGCACAGAATATTCTGTAATTTGGGACTTTTTTAAATTAATACTTTTGATGTTAAATTGGTAAGATTATGCCATAATTAAACAAAAATCTTTTTATTTTTATATTAGACAAAATGTCTTGAAAACCAAGAACTGCTCTTTTACTTGAAATTGAATTTCTGTCTTTTTTTCCTAAGTCAATCTCTTTATTCTTTGATTTGTAGGAGACCTTAGAGATGACAGTAACCCCGACTTCATCAAGGAATACAACAAAGCTCTGGCAGTTGTCTGCGATGATCTCTTCTTCGCTAGATACAGGAGAACAACAGGTAACTCAACCATCTCCAAATCTACAGGAGTAAACTCAGAGCAGGCAGCCCTTCAGATGCTGCAGGCAATGTTTAGCGGCTGTCGCACAGAGGATGAAAAAGTCAAGATGGTGGATGATCTGTTGGATGTCAAACTTCTGCCTGGCACTAATATGGAGGGTGTGCACTTCAACAAGGAGAGATTGACAGACAGGTAAATTTCTAGTAGATCTTTGTATATCATTCATTCATTGATTAATTAATTTTTGGAATAAAAATATGAAAATGAAAAATCTGGCAAGCTTTTCTGACCCTTAAAAGAAGATGCCCCACATATACAAGTATACAAATAGAAAAATGTGATTCCCAGATCAAAATTGAAATCAGAGAATGTTGCAAAGTTATGACTTGACTTCTTATTTTTTCAAGATTATCCAAATACTCTGGATTTAGCAACCTAAACCAACTACAAAACATGTTGGGCAATATGGAAGACAAAATGACCCAGGCGAAATCTCAGGGCACCTCTAAAGGATCTGTTGATCAGCTGTCTACACTCAGTCATAGATTCTCCACTTCAGGTAAAACCAGCTTAATAGCTCGAAAGATAGCAGTTTTAAGTTTGGTTTTAGATGTAACTTTATCTCTATTATACATGTTAAGTTGATTTTAAAAGAGAAATTTAATATTAAATTGTCGTTACTTTGTAGGTCCTCCCTCAGCCCTTAACAAGTTACCCCCATTCCGCTTTGTGACTGCAAACATGACAGGACAGGCACTGTGGCAGACATTTGTCAACCATGAAGATGGGGAAGAGGAAAATGTTCCAAAAGAGGAGGCCGTACAAGACTCACTGGTAAGTCATTGTTATAGCACAAGGGGCTTGCTTCTGCAGTCCATAAATTTAAAAGAAAAAAAGGATCATGCCACACTTTTAAGACTTAATAGAGTGTAACTGTTTTGTTCTCTCTCCAGGAAATTCTTCAGGAACGCCATGACAATTTAACGGCAGACTTTTCCAACATCAACTCTGAAATCATTGAACTACAGGACCGTTCTCACTCACTGGAAGAGGAGCTAGCAGCCGAGACCAAACTCATGGAGACCACCAAGGAGAAAGAGAAACATGCTCAGCTCGCAAAGAAAGTCCGATCTAAACTCAACGACACTCGAGCAAGAATTGCAAGGCTTGAAATGGAGAAAAACCTGATGTTAAGAAAATTGGCTGAGTGTGAGAAAGATATTGAAATAAAGAAACTAAGGCCACAACAAAATGAGGAGAAAACAGTGACATTCAGCACAGATAGCAAGAAAAAATCTAAAAAATAAATTACTCTTAACAATGCTGTGGACACTGATTGCTTGATGTTCAGTTTTGATTAATTGGCAAAGAATATGTATGATTTGTACTCATTGGTTTGTTTAAATATACCAATATCAATATTTTTTTATTATTTCATAAACAAGAAAAATAGATGTTGAATTATGAGAAAAGTCATTTATGATATATGTCTCCATTTTATAAGTTATTAACTTCCAATGCTTTTCAAGTAGATATCTAATTTTGATACCATTAGAATTTAATTTATGTCATTTCCTGATGATAATTTTGTAAACTTTTTTTAAAGTCAAAAATATAACCTAATCTAACAGTTTGGACACATCACTAAGTGTGACATGATTCTAAAGGAATGTTGTTAATATAGACTGAGCATTTAATTTTTTTTATTCTTAACTGTTGCATAATTTCTTCTTGTAGACATACATGATGTATTTTTATACCACAAATGTTCTCTGTTTTTTCCTTTAAATCAATGTCCTCACTCATGAGAAAATCGCATTATTATAATAATAAGCATATGATACAACTGTGATACTTTATATTTGATATATATGTATTTTGATAAAGGATTTTATATGTTTTTTTTTTTCAATATTACTCATGTCATCAGTAAAATCCTTAAAAGCATTACTCATTAATGATACTTGATTAATAACTAGGTCCGTTCTGTGTTTGACGTCATGACTATTTCACCCTATCCTGTTTGATAAAGTGCAAGACCCCCTTTTTGTTTGCCTTTTTTTGCTACTATCAGTTTGTTTTTGACTTGAGATTAAAATGTTTCTTTGATTGTTTACACAGATGCTTATAGTTTTGTTATAAATTTTTCCTCAAGGTTTACACCGAATTGATTTGTGCAATATCTGTGTTGTCTAAGAAAATCATTTCAATGTGAAATCGACTCCGTCCAATATTTATGTCCAATATTTATTTTTATTTTGATGCTATGCATACTTGTACACGCAAGGAAGATTCTCTGTAAAAATCAAAATACTTTTGTCTTGCAAGTGCAATTAGCTTTGCAAATGGCTAAAGCTTAGATGGATTTTATTTTGTGTTTTCCCTCTGTTATTGTTTATTGTTACCAAATATAAACCATCAACATTGTTAACAGTTTTGTATATTTATAAACAAAGTCATTTGAATCATTTGTATAGTATTCATCAAGTTCATTGAATCTTTTGTAATAAATTTCCTATGATCATGAAGTATCAAGTTTGTTTTGTTTTATCCTAGAAAAAATTTGGGGTGCTGATTCTCATAAGAAGATACTTTGTTGTCTACATTCTCTCCTTCACTTGTCTTTGTTTAAACAAGACATGCCATTGGCAAGAAGATGGTTTATGAGCTGGAAAACTTCATCTGGATTAGGACAAAGTCACAGTAGTCGTTTAACAATCTATCAGAATTCCCATGGGTACCAACTGTGCTCCAATGTCTAAAAGAACATGTCAGAGAGGGGAGTCACTACCTTCTGATGGCCAGGAAGCCCAAGTCAACATGTTATAATAGTCACGACAGGTGGGGGGGGGGGGTGTTGGGGGGGGGGGGGGGGGTTTGAACACGTTCTTATGCGCACGTCAGGGAGCTGAATAAACTCCCTCTAATGGCCATGTCAGGGGGCCGATTCAACAAGTTCTATAGCTAATGGCCACATCAGGGGGCTGTGTCAACAAGTTCTATAGCTAATGGCCACATCAGGGGGCCGAGTCAACAAGTTCTATAGCTAATGGCCACGTCAGGGGATCAAGTCAACTAGTTCTATAGATAATGGCCACGTCTGGGGGCCGAGTCAACAAGTTCTATAGCTAATGGCCACATCACGGGGTCTAGTCAACAAGTTCTATAGCTAATGGCCACGTCAGGGGATCAAGTCAACTAGTTCTATAGATAATGGCCACGTCAGGGGGCCGAGTCAACAAGTTCTATAGCTAATGGCCACATCACGGGGTCGAGTCAACAAGTTCTACAGCTAATGGCCACGTCCGGGGGATCAAGTCAACTAGTTCTTTAGCTAATGGCCATTTCAGGGGGCCAAGTCAACAAGTTCTATAGCTAGTGGCCACGACCGTGGGCCAAGGCAACAAGTTCTATAGCTAATGGCCACGTCTGGGGGCCGAGTCAACAAGGTCTATAGCTAGTGGCCACGACCGTGGGCCGAGTCAACAAGTTCTATAGCTAATGACCACGTCAGGGGGTCGAGTCAACAAGTTCTAAAGCTAATGGCCACGTCAGGGGGCCGAGTCAACTAGTTCTATAGCTAATGGCCACGTCAGGGGGCTGAGTCAACTAGTTCTATAGCTAGTGGCCACGTCAGGGGGCCGAGTCAACAAGTTCTATAGCTAATGACCACGTCAGGTGGTCAAGTCAACAAGTTCTATAGCTAATGTCCACGTCAGGGGGCCGAGTCAACAAGTTCTATAGCTAATGGCCACGTCAGGGGATCAAGTCAACTAGTTCTATAGCTAATGGCCACGTCAGGGGGTCGAGTCAACAAGTTCTATTGCTAATGGCCACGTCAGGTGGTCGAGTCAATAAGTTCTATAGCTAATGGCCACATCAGGTGGCCGAGTCAACAAGTTCTATAGCTAATGGCCACGTCAGGGGGTCGAGTCAACAAGTTCTATAGCTAGTGGCCACGTCAGGTGGCCGAGTCAACAAGTTCTAAAGCTAATGGCTACGTCAGGTGGCCGAGTCAACAAGTTCTAAAGCTAATGGCCACGTCAGGGGGTCGAGTCAACAAGTTCTATTGCTAATGGCCACGTCAGGTGGTCGAGTCAACAAGTTCTATAGCTAATGGCCACGTCAGGTGGCCGAGTCAACAAGTTCTATAGCTAATGGCCACGTCAGGGGGTCGAGTCAACAAGTTCTATAGCTAGTGGCCACGTCAGGTGGCCGAGTCAACAAGTTCTAAAGCTAATGGCTACGTCAGGTGGCCGAGTCAACAAGTTCTAAAGCTAATGGCCATGTCAGGTGGTCGAGTCAACAATTTCTATAGCTAATGGCCACGTCAGGTGGCCGAGTCAACAAGTTCTATAGCTAATGGCCACGTCAGGGGGCCGAGTCAACAAGTTCTATAGCTAAGGCTACGTCATGACCCCTGAGGTTGTAAAGATGTGATAGAGGTGTCATTCATTTTCTACATTAGCTTGTAAAAGTAAGGGATCGGGAAAAAATTCTGTTGTCTATATTTAAGGAGAATTTTACAAGTATAAAGAATGAATATCTTGAAAAATTATTGTGCATACAATGAATACTAGTAAATTGTATAAAAAATATGTTGTTATTAGAAATAGAAGTTGATCTTCTCATTTCATTTAAACAAATCTTAACAAACGACATATCGACAAGGAAATCTGTACACATTGTAATTTATAGATTTATGATGAGGAAAGTTTTGTAGAAGACAACTTTTAAGGTACTTTTAAAATAATTGCTTGCACTGAAGTACATTTTCTCGTAATATTCATCTTTTTAATGCCTTATTAGGAATCAAAATGTTCGGCGACTTTTTTCAAAACCAAATGCATCAGGCACTCAGAACTTGAACAGAATCCATAAATCAGTAAGCCTTTACATATAAAAATATGATTGGTTAAACAAGGTAAATGCTTAAGTGAGTTTATTGATTTCTTCACCAATCATCATAGTTTCTGAGATTTGAATCGCAGAAATCCTGAACATGACGGCGGAGAGCGAGACTTCAGGGCGCGGGAGTACTGCTGAAATCTTCCTGCCCCCTCTCGGATTATTTCTTGGGGGAGCTTTAGGTAAGAAATATGTGATGATCAAGATGTATGGGCAGGTCTATGTATTTAACATATTTATCGTATAGCATACCTCTGATAAAAGAGATAACTGTCCAAGGAAATTATTCCAAGCAATCCAATAAATCGTCTCAGCCGAGTTTGACAATGAGGACCATTTTATCGTCAACTCATTCTGTAAATCCTAAGTATATATGTTACAAAACATTGATTTCCATTTTCAGTTGTCTTTTTATAATTTGAAATAGTTTACAGAAAAAAATTGGATACTTCAATCTATTAACATTATTATTTTAATTTTTACAGAAGTTTCAAATGTGGAATTTTCATAATCAGTTGATATATGTATAGGTTTCAATGAAAATATTTGGAATAACGGTAACTCCTGTAGATGGATGCATTTTACATGCATTTTAAAAGCACAGAAAACTATGCCATATTCTGATTTAAAAAGCAACGCTTTATTTCTTATTCTAATGTGAAATCAATATATCTACATATATATATTTTTTAATTTTACAGTGATGTATAAAACAAATGATTTTTGTCAATTCAAGATTCAACATCATATTCATTTCTGAAAAAGCAAACAACGTTTCGTTCCTCAAACTATTTTCTAGTAAATGTTATTGTTGTTGATGAAAATCAACCTTGTGATTTTCGAGAAAAAAATGGTGAAATTTGAAGCAGAGGAATATTTCACCTTTTAAAATATCGAGATGCAGTGTAAGACCAAATTTTGTTAATGTGGTACCCCTAATGTAAATAATGGGCTTGTTATAGTTATTGGAAGATGTTCATTTTTTATTTTTTATTTTTTTTAATTTAGAAAAGAAATCTTAGGCCAGAATCTAAAATGGCAATCAATATGAAGTACAAAAGGTGATGATAGAATAAATTGATTTGTCTTGGAAGCTGGCGAATGATCGTTAAAAAATAACAAAAGAGAAAAGGAAATCTACGATTACTTTTGTTTAATATATACTTGAACCCTCAACCTACGGAATCTGTCTCCTAGCAGTGCAGCTCGCAAGTCCTTTACCTTGCTCTTTGCCGACGGATTTCCCGCTGCTCTGCCATATACGAGGGTTGTCCCGTAAAATCGTGGACAAAGCGTTTTTCTCGAAAAGTAATGGGCGCACTAAGCTGAAATTTTCAGTAAATGTTTATTCATCATATTTAAGTGTATCATAATGTTTTTGTTAATATATATACAAAAATAAAGATTTTATTCTGCTTGAAGGTGCACAGGGTACGGTCCTACGGCGCACGGTAATAATAACAAGGTTGTATTAGAGAATATATACAAGTATTAATTCGTAATAAAAGTTTTCAGTACATAAGATTAGGATGAAAATTATCCTAATTCGATTCCTTAATCAATTATATTGTCTTTTTTCAAGGCATTTGATTAAATTTTGGCTGTTTCCCGAGCATTCGAAATGGAAAAATTGTGTACACAATACACGAAAAATGGCGACGTTTCATGACGTTACGGCGCACCGGAGAGCAGTTCAGTTAGATTAGGATGTTTTAATGACACTTTAAAAGACTTTAAATGAATACGGAAGAACGAAAATATGAAAAATATCACCAGATTTTTAGTATACAAATAAAATGGACGTTTTCTTAGCGAAGTCTTCTTGATTGAGTCCCCAGATAGTACAAAACATGCGAACAGACTGCCATTGTAATAGTAAAAGACGCTGTCACTGTCGACCGTCGATATAAGATTCTCATTTAGTTGACTGATGGTGAGAATACTGTCCGTAACTTGCTCATAAATCTTCAGAAGATCGCATGAGGGTGCCACGTACATTGGTTCCTTAACTGTTAATAAACACTCACGTATGTAAATCAATCAAATTTCTAAATTTAAGTGGGACATATCCAACTTTATTTTAGCAAACATGAAGCGTGACGCTGTTTTAGACACGTCGACATTATCATCCATGCGCCGTAGGGCGCTACTGTACATAACATAAAATATCACAATTTGTTTATTTATGCACATATCTATTTGAAATTTGCTATGTATATTTATAATATATGTACTAAAAAGTAGTGAAACTTTCAGAACGCAGTGATGATTATTTTTCAAACTAGACAACTTGTCCACGATTTAACGGGACAACCCTCGTACTACATATTGGCGTCAGAAGCAAATTGAAGAGGGGGGGGGGGGGCTAAGTGAAAGAGAAAAAAATTAAAACCTACAAAAAACTTGACAAGCAAAAAAAAAAAGGGGGGGGGTGTCAACTGCCATATTATGAAAATCCTATGTCTTGAAGATGTGGGTGGGGGATGGACATCTATCACTATATTCAGTACCAATTTTTCCCCCAAGCTGTGGGTGGGGGATGGACATCTATCACTATATTCAGTACCAATTTTTCCCCCAAGCACTATCAATTACATGTACCCCTTTTTCTTTTCTTTTTTTCAAACATAAACTGCAATGTGCCTGTTGAAAGGGAGGGGGGGGTTAACCTATGCCCCAATGTTCAATGCCTATATTATGCCTATGCTACACTTTCATCAGGTCATTTAGTTTTTATTACAGGATCGTTTCCAATACACGGTGTAATGAAATGAGTTGCTTTTGGGCTCCACATTTTACAGCTTTTTGAAAACTAACAGAACTGCTCTAAGCGAAGAAATGTTGATGCAGAGAGCACAAGAATGTTCACTTTTGTAAGGATACCCACTTCCGCCCCAGCCGTTGCTCTTAATGGCATTTTTTTTTCAATTTAAGCAAGTTAATAGATTTTAGGTGTTTTACACGACTTTCGCTCTTTGAAAGATTTATAACCTCCCAAGTAATGAATAAAAGGAAAAGCAACAACATATGCGAGTTTGAAAAAATTCGAATTCGATATCATCAAATAACTATAGTTTCATTTTGCGAGGTTTCATTTTGCAATACAAATTAATAGTATTAGTTGGGGCAGTTTGTACTGAAATAATGCTTTATAATGCTGTATAAAACTTAATTAACTTAATCTGAACATCTGTTGTTATAGGCAAGTGGGAATAGGTGGAATTGAGATTTTTAAAAAAAGTGGGAATAGGTAGAAGACACCTAAAAAATTCCGTTCACACGTATATGTAAATCACCCCTCAATTATTCTACCTCAGGGTCTGTTGATTTTTCTTCACGGATTATATTTATTCAATAATTTATCATGTATAACATGAAAAAAAGTCGTGAAAAACACAATGTAATCATTCCATACAAGAACAAGCTAATTCAGAGAATTTGTGTCCCCCGCTCGAAGAAAAAGTAAAACATGCGCAGTTCGGGGGGAGGGAGGGGGGGGGGGGGAGAGTTGGATCCCCCTCCCTGAATTTGTAGAATTATTAAATGTATACTTGCATGTATACTGAAGCAAATAAAATATACCATTATGGATAAAGATTTAATTGCTTATTCTTTATTATGTGTATAGTTCTAAGATTCTTTTTATATGGAATATTTATCACACTGTAATGATGATTTTATGAGTTTGTACACGCCAGACCTCGTAAATTTTTCATTTCGCGTGTAAAAGTATTTAAAAAAAAAAAAAAGTTGTCCGTCCGGTACTTGAGCTCGGGACCTCTCAGTCTGGAAGCGAGAAACATACCACTAGACCACGGAATCGCTTTACATGGAGTCAAGTATATGCAGAAGCAAAGTCACATACATGTATATATTCATGTTCAGTATTGTCAAAATTTTACACAATCCATGGTGTTTGATTTATTAAGCCTTTATTAAACAGTTCTAATACATGTAATAAGAACATAAAGTCTGCCGAGAACCTGTTTTATACGCAATAACTCTCCTCGTGCCCCTGTGCTAAAAATAGCGGCATGTAATACTATAAATACTAATAAAACAAACGGGGCGGGGCACTTTGAGAGGGGTGAGAGAGGTCCTAGGGAGTTTTGGTATAAAATTACATTGAATAAGCTCAAAATCTTCTTGAAATATCGCCCGGAAATGATAGTGTTACACACAGACAGAATGTGTAAATTTACGACCTTGAACTTTGACCTTTTGACCTCAAAATAAATAGGGGTCCTCCTTATGCCACAGGGAATTGTTATGTAAATTTTCATTGCAATAGCTCAAATGGTTCTAGAGATATCGTGTGGAAACGAAAGTATTATAACAGACAGAATTTGCTTATTTATGACCTTGACCTTTGACCTTCTGACCTCAAAATCAATAGATTTCTTCTTTAGTCCATAGGAAGTTGCTATGCTAAATTTCATTGCAAAAGCTCAAAGGGTTCTCGAGATACAGTGTGGAAACGAAAGCGTTACAGACAGACAGAAAGACGGACGGACGGACAAACCCAAATTAATATCCCCTACTTTTCAAGCGGGGGACAAAAAAAAAAACATTCGAAAAGAAATGCAAAGTGTGGTTTATTTTCCTATTTCTCTGGTATACATGATAAATAAGTGCAGTGTTACAACGCACTTTGAAAAATTACGCACTTTCAAATTTTTTTCAAAGTGCGTTAAATTTGGGACCAAGTCAACGCACTTTGAAAAAATAAAATTTCTTTTCAAAATGCGTTAATATCGACCATTAATATTTCAACGTCATACTAGTTATGCAAATACATATTTTGGTGTAGCATATGCATTGGTACCGGGAGGGGGGCTTAGACACACAAATGTTTTACAAAGATATACATGTAGTTACATAATATAGACATTGAAAATTGGGGCTTACTTTCAAGGGTGGGGTGGGTGAGGGTTGGGTCAACGTTCAATTTGTTACCCATGGCTATGTAAACAAGCTAATTCAGAGAATTCGTGTCCCCCGCTTAGGGAAAAAGTGGGATCCCCCTGACTGAATTTGTAGAATTATTAAATGTATGCATGTATACTGAAGCAAATAAAATACATGTATGTCAATATGCATATAAAGATTTGATTGCTTATTCTTTATTAATTGTATAATAGAAGATTCTTTTTATATGGAATACTTATCACACGGTAATGATGATTTTATGAGTTTGTACAAGTCAGACCTCAATACATTTTTCATTTCACATGCTGAATACTATCATTTAGTAAAAAAAAAAGCATTTCGAAAAAAAAAGAAAATGGATCGTCTGGGATTTGAGCCCGTGACCTCTCTCATGTGAAGCGAAATACATACCACTGGACCATGGAACTACTAGTACTTTACGCTGTCGAAAATTATATGCAAAGTTGAAGTCACATACTTGTATTTATATATTCACGTTCGATATTGTCAAAATTTTACACAATGCATGGTGTCTAATTTAACCTTTATTAAATAGTTCCTAATGTAATAAGAATATAAAGTCCGCGGAGAACCTGCTTTATGCGTAATAACGCTCCTCATGGCCCCTGTGCTAAAAATAGCTACATGTAATACAATTAATACTAATAAAACAAACGGAGCGGGACACTTTGAGAGGGGTGAGAGAGGTCCTAGGGAGTTTTGGTATAAAATTACGTTCCAAACTCTCAAAATCCTCTTGAAATATCGCCCGGATAGGATAGTGTTACACACAGATATAATGTATAAATTTACCACCTTGAACTTTGACCTTTTCACCTCAAAATAAATAGGGGTCTTCCTTAGGCCACAGGCAGTTGTTATGTAAAATTTCATTGCAAAAGCTCAAAGGGTTCTCGAGATATCGTGTGGAAACGAAAGCGTTACAGACAGACAGAATGACGGACAGACGGACGGACAGACCCAAATTAATATCCCCCACTTTTCAAGCGGGGGGCAAAAAATGTTTGGGCTGAGAGACCTTCTACTCGTCTTCTCCTTGTTCTCAATCAGGTTAAATCAATTCACGTAAATTAAAAAGTTTTCGAAAGATATAATTATTACAAATTAATTCTCTCAATTACTAAATTCAAAGTCTAGAATTTTTGTTTAGTACATATTTTTTTCAAAGTGCGTTAAATTTCCCCATGGGAAAAAATGTTGATGTACATGTACACTCTTAACGCACTTTGAAAAAAATTTTCAAAGTGCGTTGAGTGTGTCCCAAATTTAACGCACTTTGAAAAATTTTTTTCAAAGTGCGTAATTTTTTCAAAGTGCGTTGCCACAGTGCAGTAATTACTATAATTTTTTAAACAACCATTATCTTTCAGCTTTAACTCTGTTGGCGATCTGTACATCACAATCCTGCAGACATCTTAGGCACAGATCTTTTGTACGGTGTGTTGGTCCGTCTCTCTCGAAGTCAGGCCTTACAAGCTTCACCAGTCTGCTGTCTAACCAAGGAACAAACAGTCCTGTTGCTGACCTGAACGGATTTTACTCCAAATCTGATGCCGAGATTTTGGAACATCTGCAGATGTACCAAAACAACCCGCGGTATTTGTTCAAAATTGCAATACCAGCAGTGACGTCATTAATATTTTGTCCAATGATAATGACTGCATATAAACCAATTGCAAACTTTCTGTGGCCTAATCGAACACAACCAGCCATCAACGAAGCTATCGCTTGTTTTTTGGCCCCTGCAGGCATGGTGTATGCAGTGTCGTTTGGGTTTGCCTTTCAACAAGTCCTTCAAAAACAAATTGATATTACAGCAAGATTAAACAATGATTTTTCAGAAATGGAGCTCTTAATGAATTTAACAACAAAATTGTCGTGTTTGAAATCGACCACCCGGATGAAGATGTATATTGCTCTGAAAGAGGAAATAATGGCGGTAGTCCAGTATATAACAGAGATGACTGAACTTAAAAATAACAAGAACGGTACTTAGTCGATTAATTCTAAATACTAGGATTTCATTAACAACAAGAAAATCTACTTTGATCGTGGAAATCTTAATTTATTGCATTTATAACGTGATCACTGTATTTATCCTCAAACAAAATATACCACGAACAGAAAATCGAAAAAACATTAGTAGATCTTAAAGAAAATTTTCAATAATGATAGATAATTGATTTTCACTAGATAATCGTATCATTATGGTATCGGGTGGGTGAATTTTTGAGCATCTTATAATGCTATACGAAATTCAGTATTTCTTATGGTGGCATATCATTTCTACTGCAAAACATTTCAAATTTAAAACTATCGCTCATACATTTATGTGTATTTTAGATATAGATAAGACTTTAGCAAAACCTTTGAAGGACCGAAACAGTCTACAGTAGGGCAGTTTCTATAAGAAATATTGACATTTTTACTGTTTAGGGGCCATTTGGGACATCCTGGATTGTCTTCGCGAGGCTCCAGTACAGAGGCATAAAGTGGACACAGCAATAATTAACAAAATCATCAAATACGTGGGGAACCTGAATAGCGTGGTAGACAAAGTAGGAACCCTCCACGCCAAGATACACCCACTACAGTGAGTACTTAAAGATACACCCACTACAGTGAGTATTTAAAGAAACAACAAGCTTACATAGCCAAGATACACCCACTACAGTGAGTACTTAGAGAGACAACAAGCTTACATATCCAAGATACACCCACTACAGTGAGTACTTAGAGAGAAAACAACAAGCTTACATAGCCAAGATACACCCACTACAGTGAGTACTTAGAGAGAAAACAACAAGCTTAAGATACACACACTACAGTGAGTACTTAAGAGAGAAAACAACAAGCTTACATATCCAAGATACACCCACTACAGTGAATACTTAAAGAAACAACAAGCTTACATATCCAAGATAAACCCACTACAGTGAGTACTTAAGAAAACAACAAGCTTACATATCCAAGATAAACCCACTACAGTGAGTACTTAGAGAGACAACAAGCTTACATATCCAAGTTACACCCACTACAGTGAGTACTTAGAGAGATGACAACAAGCTTAAAAATAGACAAGATACACCCACTACAGTGAGTACTTAGAGAGACAACAAGCTTACATAGCCAAGATACACCCACTACAGTGAGTACTTAGAGAGACAACAACAAGCTTAAATAGACAAGATACACCCACTACAGTGAGTACTTAGAGAGACAACAACAAGCTTACATAGTCAAGATTCACCACTACAGCGAGTACTTAGAGAGACAACAAGCTTACATAGCCAAGATACACACACTACAGTGAGTACTTAGAGAGACAACAAGCTTACATAGCCAAGATACACACACAACAGTGAGTACTTAGAGAGAAAACAAGCTTACATAGCCAAGATACACCCACTACAGTGAGTACTTAGAGAGACAACAACAAGCTTACATAGCCAAGATACACCCACTACAGTGAGTACTTAGAAAGACAACAAGCTTACATAGCCAAGATACACCCACTACAGTGAGTACTTAGAAAGACAACAAGCTTACATAGCCAAGATACACCCACTACAGTGAGTACTTAGAGAGACAACAAGCTTACATAGCCAAGATACACCCACTACAGTGAGTACTTAGAGAGACAACAATTTTACATAGCCAAGATACACCCACTACAGTGAGTACTTAGAAAGACAACAAGCTTACATAGCCAAGATACACCCACTACAATGAGTACTAAGAGAGACAAGAAGCTTACATAACCAAGGTACACCCACTACAGTGAGTACTTAGAGAGACGACAACAAGCTTACATAGCCAAGATACACCCACTACAGTGAGTACTTAGAGAGACGACAACAAGCTTAAATAGACAAGATACACCCACTACAGTGAGTACTTAGAGAGACAACAACAAGCTTTCGTAGCCAAGATACACCCACTACAGTGAGTACTTAGAGAGACAACAAGCTTACATAGCCAAGATACACCCACTACAGTGAGTACTTAGAGAGACAACAACAAGCTTAAATAGACAAGATACACCCACTACAGTGAGTACTTAGAGAGACAACAAGCTTACATAACCAAGATGCACCCACTACAGTGAATACTTAGAGAGACAACAAGCTTACATAGCCAAGATACACCCACTACAGTGAGTACTTAGAGAGAAAACAACAAGCTTACATAGCCAAGATACACCCACTACAGTGAGTACTTAGAGAGACAACAAGCTTACATAGCCAAGATACACCCACTACAGTGAGTACTTAGAGAGACAACAACAAGCTTAAATAGACAAGATACACACACTACAGTGAGTACTTAGAGAGACAACAAGCTTACATAGCCAAGATACACCCACTACAGTGAGTACTTAGAGAGACAACAACAAGCTTACATAGCCAAGATACACACACTACAGTGAGTACTTAGAGAGACAACAACAAGCTTACATAGCCAAGATACACACACTACAGTGAGTACTTAGAGAGACAGCAACAAGCTTACATAGCCAAGATACACCCACTACAGTGAGTACTTAGAGAGACAGCAACAGGCTTAGATAGCCAAGATAAACCCACTACAGTGAGTACTTAGAGAGACGACATTAAGCTTACATAGCCAAGATACACACACTACAGTGAGTACTTAGAGAGAAAACAAGCTTACATAGCCGAGATACACTCACTACAATTAGTACTTAGAGAGGCAACAAGCTTACATAGCCAACATACACACACTGCAGTGAGTACTTAGAGAGATGACAACAAGCTTAGGTAGCCAAGATACTCCCACTACAGTGAGTACTTAGAGAGACAACAAGCTTGCATAGCCAAGATACACCCACTACAATGAGTACTAAGAGAGACAACAAGCTTACATAGCCAAGATACACACACTACAGTTAGTACTTAGAGAGACAACAAGCTTACACAGCCAAAATACACCCACTGCAGTGAGTACTTAAGAGAGAAAACAACAAGCTTACATAGCCAAGATACACACACTACAGTGAGTACTTAGAGAGACAACAAACTTACATAGACAAGATACACCCACTACAGTGAGTACTTAGAGAGAAAACAAGCTTACATTGCCAAGATACACCAACTACAGTGAGTACTTAGAGAGACAACAACAAGCTTACATAGTCAAGATACACACACTACAGTGAGTACTTAAAGAAACAACAAGCTTACATAGCCAAGATACACCCACTACAGTGAGTAATTAGAGAGAAAACAACAAGCTTACATAGCCAAGATACACCCACTACAGTGAGTAATTAGAGAGAAAACAACAAGCTTACATAGCCAAGATACACCCACTACATTGAGTAATTAGAGAGAAAACAACAAGCTAACATAGCCAAGATACACCCACTACAGTGAGTAATTAGAGAGAAAACAACAAGCTTACATAGCCAAGATACACCCACTACAGTGAGTAATTAGAGAGAAAACAACAAGCTTACATAGCCAAGATAAACCCACTAAAGTGAGGACTTAGAGAGAAAACAACAAGCTTACATAGCCAAGATACACCCACTACAGTGAGTACTTAGAGAGACAACAACAAGCTTACATTGCCAAGATATACCCACTACAGTGAGTACTTAGAGAGACAACAAGCTTACATTGCCAAGATATACCCACTACAGTGAGTACTTAGAGAGACAACAAGCTTACATAGCCAAGATACACACACTTCAGTGTGTACTTAGATACTCGCCCAGATGCTTATATAGCCAAGATACACCCACTACAGTGAGTACTTAGAGAGACAACAACAAGCTTAAATAGCCAAGATACACCCACTACAGTGAGTGCTTAGAGAGACAACAACAAGCTTAAATAGCCAAGATACACCCACTACAGTGAGTACTTAGAGAGACAACAAGCTTACATAGCCAAGATACACCCACTACAGTGAGTACTTAGAGAGAAAACAACAAGCTTAAATAACCAAGATACAGACACTACAGTGAGTACTTAGAGAGACAACAAGCTTACATAGCCAAGATACACCCACTACACTGAGTACTTAGAGAGAAAACAACAAGCTTACATAGCAAGATACACAAACTACAGTGAATACTTCGAGAGACAACAAGCTTATATACAATTTTTACAGTAGGTTTTTAGAGAGAGCACATTAAACACTTACATATCTACAGTAAGTATAACAAATCCAAAAAACACCTGCGTCTACAGTTAGTGCTTTGAAAGAGCATGACAAAGACTTACATGATGTACAGCAAGTATTAACAGTTTGTACTGGAAAGACTTGCATGGAATATTGAAGTCCATTGAATTGAATACAAATTGATAGAAAGCAGAGCAAACACTGACCCATAAAAGATGCGAGATCAGGTGCCACGGAGGAGTATGTCGACCGGCCACACCCAGTGAGTGTGTTACGTCTGTAGATCTGTAGACAATTCAGAGTGTAAAATTCATAATAAGCTAATAATTTGTATGAAGAAGGTCGATCACCATGACTTAATCATAGATTGAATTTGCTGACAGGGTCATCGTATTGACCATGGAATACGTGAAATGTTCACTTAAGCGAGGTTGCTGATATATTCCTGTTTCATCAACTTGTTTGTCAACAGTTTGTCTTGTATATGGAATTGTCGGTACATAGGGCATGCATTTGCATTTAAACCTGTAAAACTTTATCATTAAGTTTGTATCCTCTCAAATTTGTTTTTGTATATTTTATTATTTGTGCAGGTGGGCGTTCCTGGAGATTCTTGGTTACTCTTCGTTCCTTGGTATTCTGATGGTGAAGTGCGACTCCTATCGGATGGAAATGTGCATGAGTTTCGTCACGTGTTTGTCCATTTCCATGTCATGTTACATCGTGGCGGACATTGATAATCCCTTTCACGGATTTTTCAGGATCAACATTAAAAGTGTTTTGTCAATTTTAGAACAACTGGAGAAAAGCTACAACGATGAACTTCATTGTCAAATTCAGCTTCAGAACATCGACGGAAACAAATAATCCATCCCCACATAAGGTCAAAGTAAAGAAGAAGTAGATATGTCTGTAGAACTTCAGTTCTATCTTTCTCAAAACAATCATCTTCGTTAGAGATTAATATTCTCTGCAGCATGTCCAGCTTTTGTTCAACTGTCCATAGAATAAATGCAACTTACCTTAAAGTATTTTTTTAACGTAATTTTTTTAAAAAATAGATTAAGCTCTGTATATCAACAGTGTGTTATTGTTAAATTCTATAATTGTCAGATCATTTTATTTCTAAATGTTATCTCTAGTTTACTTTAGAGATAAATCTTGTAGCATTAAATTAGGAGATACAAAGTACAAATACAGGTACATGAGAAAGTTAACTTGAAAAAAAATATCGGTTAAAAAATCAAAAAAGCATACTTTAGAAAAAAAAATGTATTACACGAAACATAAAATACAAGTATGAATATAATTTTAAGCAGTATAGATTTTAACCATCAATATAATATTGCAGAGAAGACCAGAAATATAGACAAAAACATCAGCTCTCCTCAAACAAACCAAAATGAAACTTAATGGATGTCTCTTTTTTCTAAAATTTACACTGTTAATACATTTTTCATAGGATAGTGCATGTCGACTGTTCTAACTATCGAATGGAAAGAAAAGACAACAAATTTTAGATCCATGTTCAATTTACACTGATACGGAATGTCCTGTCGTTATTTAGACAAACTTAAAGTAAAATTAAAAGTAAACAATCAAGTTCTGTTTCAGTTTTACAAAAAATGAAATTTGAGTTCAAATGATCAATGTATGTAACATTGTGGCTTAATCCTTTGTTCAAAAGAGCTCTTAAAGATGCAGTTAAAATTGTATGGAGTTATTTAACATTGTGGCTTAATCCTTTGTTCAAAAGAGCTCTTAAAGATGCAGTTAAAATGTATGGAGATCCAACACATTATCCGAGAGTGTTTTCAGTTTCACACCTAAATAAAAGTATACTTTTGTTTGTTGGTCTGTTTAAAGAACCGTCATTTCAATAGGAAAAATTAAATTTTCTTTTAGTTTGTTTAAGTTTGGCAAATCCTATTTGACAATGAAAGAGGAGGAAATTTTTCCCCCCCCCCCCCCAAAAAAAAGAACATTCTATCACAGAGAATTTTTCATTCAGTTTTTGGACGCCACCACTTGTCCGAGGAATCGACTGTTTACTCACGTGGCCGGGACTCACGGTACCCATTAGGAGGGATCTTACCTCGTCCCATCATCTACTGCTACTATACGACAGACTGTCCACAAGTGGGAGTCCAAGCTCTGGTTGAGCATATTAAAGATAGGAAGGATAACTCTTGAAAATATCATTTGATTGAAGAAACATTTTTTTGAGCCTTTTCAATTACCCAACTCTTGATTTTCAGGACCTGAGGATCAGACCACTTTAAGATAACGTTTGTAAACGCAGTTGTCTTTCTTTGGTCTCTGGGTAATTCCAAGACTTGGAATAACTCCGTCTACAGTATTTCTCATTACTTTTAAAAATCATTATTGAATGTAAAAAAGATGTCTGCATATTACCTCACAAAATTGCATATTACACCAGTGAAATTTATTTTTATTCAAGGAAATTCATATTTTTTCTGTCCGTCTACTTTTGTTTGTCCACAAAAACCTATTTAATAACTTTTCATTTATTGGAGATATATTCCATATTTTTCTTTCATTCAAAGTGAAGAAAACTTTGCGATGATCTGCCTCGCATTCATGTTTCACCGGGAAAAAAAAACACTCAGAAAAACTGTTGTTAAAACTCGCTACTAACAACATTCGTATTTGCTACAGTAAAAAAGAATTGCAAGACTAACCGTGACAAAGTAGATCTTTTTTTTTCTCCTATATAATTTCTAGGTTTGGATTTGAGGTCATAATTTTTCTTCAAATTCCTTATACAATTCACATATCGAAAACCATATTAAGTTGGAGGTCTATTTCGGGGGGGGGGGGGGGGGGGGGGGGGGGTGAGGTTGGGTCCCATTTTTTAAATTTTAAAATACGTTACCTATAGATAATCTTACTAGTACAGCCTTATTTAACTTTACTCAACAAAAAGTGGGAACCTGTATGAACCTGCCTATTTTAAAATGAAATTTCAATCATAATGGTTAATAGTAATATCTGGAAAAAAAGCGGGCGGGAAATACTACGGATGCGACCCCCCCCAAAGGTACTGTGATTGAGATTTTTACATTTATATATTTTACTGTAAATAAGAAATCAATTCAACAGTTCACCAAATACAAAAGAAATATGTAACCTTGTAATATCAATAAACTAGTATTTTTTCAAACAAATAAAAAGATTTACAAACATCTGATAACTCTTATGTTGTTCATATGATATGCTTTATTGTCTATTGTATCAATGAATAGTTAATTATTCATATGAGATCATATATTCTTTATAGCTTAATTTAGAATCTGAAATCGAGACCAATTTGTGAAGTGCTGCAATGTGCACATTTCGTATAAAGTGTTTCTGAATCAAGGACACAAAAAGGGCCTTTTAGCTAAAATTTTCAGCATCAGTCTCTCAGGTAGTTTTCAAGTCCACCTGTCGCTCATAAAGCAGTCAAGTGAGCACAATAAACCACTGCAGACATAGAGCACTTGACACTTCCAAGGTATACATCCAGTGAAATCTCTCAGCCTGGTGATGGAAGCGGAATCGGTAAACAAATGCCAAGCTTCTTGTTGTCTGATTTTTCCATTATACTATATGAACATTACACATCCATAAATCCACATCAAACAGCAATATACATCACTGATAAAGCTGATATTTTGTGACCGATGAAATGATCAATCGAGTTTTACCATGTGACTCATCTCGCACCAGTAGTAATAGCCCAGTTCCGCGCGGTCCGCATATGAATATAATTTGATTGTTACATCAACTTCCATATCATAATCCCTATTACAAGAATATTGAATAATTTATGCATAATTTAAGAACAAAATGGAATAGAGTGATCCTAGCAAGGCAAGTTCATTTTTGGTTTAACAGAGAGAGAGAGAGAGAGAGAGAGAGAGGAACCTAAAATACCTTCCTGATGTGACTAAAGATCTATTTCAGATGCTACACCGATAGAGAGAGAATGAGAGAGAGAGAGAGAGAGAGAGAGAGACTTGGTCTTTTACACTTGATGAGGTCGTTAATTTGAAACAAAACACACTTTTTAATATGATACAGACCGGTAATTGACGGGGATTTGTCGAGGAACTACGCTTAAATGTCAAACATTTCAATACGAAATCTATCCATGTTATCTCGGCAATTTGTCAAGAACAAATAAACAGATAATGCTAACTCTAAACAGCACATGTATCACAACGGTCAAGTCTGTGTACCCTTACTTGTTCCCCGTGTTTCCTTTTCTAATATATTATTTTTATTCTCAGAAAGTATAACATACTTATATTATATGATAAAAATAATTTTTTTTGTGACATTTTTCTCATTTATATATAAATATGATAGATATTCTCTGACAAATTAAGATTTAAGCCTAAATGCTTTATGTTGCTCACACACGATCACTGATGTATATATATGGTTTGAGTGAGCCAAGTTTTTCATAATACTACAGAGGATGGTAATGTGTTGTACAGTGGTAAAATATAATTTCCCAGAACAATTAAATTCCTCAATGAAAAATCAAGAAAGCATCAGAATGGCAAAATGTAGTTAACTAGTTACATGAATTAAAAAAAAAATCGGGTGTGAGTAACTCTGAGGAAGTGGTATCCCTCCTAGATCCTCCTTCGTATCCTCTTCTCCAGAAACTGACCACGGCTCGGTACTTCCTCACAGACGTCACAAGTCTATATATAAAGTTATAAAATATTGAATACTAGTAATTCAATTGTAAATATTATAGATCTGGACTTTTTTTGAAGTTGAAAAGAATTTCTACATTTAAAAAAATATATTCTAAGTAATCATACAATTTGTTTTACACTTAAACAACATTTAAAGACGTACAACACACTGGGGGAGATAACTCTTGCGATTTCAATTGAACGTTTGACGTGATGTCAAATTTAACGTCAAAAATAAAGCGTCAAAACGACGAGTAAAACGATCCCGATGTATATCAATCATGAAAGAAAATGAGATATGGGGCTTGGCTGTGATTCTGCGTACCATACTCAATCAATAAGTATTTTTTTAATTAACCCGATTAAACTCCGTAAAAACCAAGACATAAAATACATCCCTGTTTATTTCATTTCATTTCACAATAAATTGTATTTTTGATCAAAGCGCAGGATTTTTTTTATTCTGAAAATTTTATTTTACATTGCCGAAATTCTCATTATGTACAATTGGCGATATCACATTTCGATTAATGGTCTTCATTACAATTTGTGCATACATATATAAATATTGTTTTTTTCTTTAATTAAATAAAACAACAATTTAAATAAACAAAAAACTTTTTACAATGTAAAATCGATGTTGTTCTCAGACCCTTATGATAAAGAGGAACAACTCTGAAAATGTGGGAGATGTTTATTTTCCTCCCTTTATTCACGGTTTTCCGCAGAATCAGATACATTTACAGCAAGACCTGATAAATCCGAGAATTGAATACTATAGACCTCATATACACAATGTAAGTATAGAATTGAAAAGAATTGTTCACTTGTACTGAAATTATCTGCATTTAATATGAATATCCTATTGCAACAAATCGTAACTTTGACTTTCTGTCAACAATGTCGGTTCGCATTTCCTCGAATCAAAACAAAACGTAGCCTATAAGATTTTAAAACATATCAATGTGCGATTTGATATAAACTGAAATAGATGAAGAGTTTAATGTTTGATATTTTGAAGTTAATGTGGACGAATACGGAATTTTCATTTTAAACTTTAGAAGCGACGACATTGAAAGAAATGCATAGAGGGGGGTATGTACATCTAATGCAAATGTCGATGTATCCCCACGGCCACATACTGTCTCGTTTGAAATAATGACATGAAAGAAACTACAATTATTCCATTTATATCACAGGAGAGTTGAACATACACCAATTTTTAATGAATAAAATTAAAGAAATAAAATTAAAAATCAACATATTCAAGTTCAACAAAACTTGAATTTGTATCCAGGACTGAGGTTTCATGTGATATGGAATGCATAACGCATACGTATATGGACTAAACACTAAAATCTTTCAGTAATTTTTTCCTGATACATATAAAAAGAGTAGTAAATATTTATTCTGC